CAACAAAGTTTTACTTTGGTTGTCAAGGGCCAAACACAACCCTCCTCTCTTACCTATGTCATGTTTCTAATATGTATATGATATGCAAATATAAAGATATGGGTAATAACTAAGAGGTCGTTAGTGACCATTAGAGCAGGTACAGTATTCTATAAACAAGACCCTAATGCATTTGTGATTCAATTGTTGATGGTTAAGGAAGTGAATTTCAGTTCGTCTCTGTTCTCTTCCTTTGTCTCTCTCCCAATTACAGATCCCTAACAGTATACTTAATTAAAATGCCTTTCCATGATAAGCATACCTGAAAGACTTGAGCTACTCTCTAAGGCAAAACAAAGCAATGGCACCCTGAAGCCATGTGCCCTAGAGGCAATTGTACTACAAGCGACTGATTGTCAGAGATATTTATTCTTATTAAAACCAATCATGAACTCAACAAAAGGCTCATCCAACCCCCCCCCCCAAAAGACAAAGGTATGGAAAAAATAAATTACACGAAACATATTATCATTCAACAACAGTAGAAAGCAACATATTTTGTTAACACGAAACCATATCTTCAAACAAGTCTCGGAACATTAATTTAGCAAAAGTCTAAAACCAGTCTTCTTACTTGCTAGAAACTTACCAACAAATTCTCGGCATACATTTAGATCTGGATAACTTTCTAACTCGAATATGTAACTTCCCTGAAATGACACATAATCATAACTACACACTCATTTAAGAATAATCAGAAAAACAAAGTAAACAAAAGTAATACTAGTGAGTTTTAGTAAATGCAACCAACAAATTAAAAATACAATAATCAGTAATCTAACTCCTCTTCCTATATAATATGATTATAAAGCACAAAAAGCATCATGCACAAGACTCGACTCAGGCAACTGAAAGTTATGCAGTAAAGGAGATTAAAACTGCAAGAGTTAAAGATAAACTGAAGAAAAACCTGAGAGTGGCCAAGGTTAAGCCAAGGTGGTCTGTTTGATCCTTCTTTGGTGTGTTTGTGACCTGAATTTTGCAAGCAGAATAGAATGAAAGATATTAAAGCTCTCCTCAAGGACACCACACACACACACACACACACACACAACAATTACAAAAGACTTAGATTGCATAGAGATGGATCAGATTGCATTAAATAAAATCAACATGAAAGACTTCATAAATACTTTATGGATTAAAATGGACCGGCCTTATGGGTAACAAATCTTAAAATAAACATTAATAAAAACAAAAACAAAAAATCTAAGTACTTTGTATAGATTTGAAGTCGACTTCAAGCTTCGTGTTTGACGTTGGATCATTAGGCCTAAAAAAAAGCTTCTCCTCGGTCTGCATAAAGAGGAAGAAATATTTCAACGATCATCAGCAATAGCTATGCAACAACAGCCAGTAACAAATATGTCTATAACAAATCTATGAAGAACAAGCAAAAACTAAGCTCATTAATATTTTACAGGACATAATATCAAGATTTGAAACATACTTTATTTCAAGTCATTCTCAACATACTTTATTTCAAGTCATTTTCAAACTTCCTCCATATCAAGACAGTGTATATATGTGTGTATTTGGTGAGTAATGCAATATATTTTATATTATCTTACTCCACTAAAACTGATAGTATTTTGACACTTGTCAACACAGAGTCCAATTTTAGTGTACATAAGGGTTTAAATGTTGAGTATGACTATCTCCAGTGTCTACAGAGGAGAATTATGAAAGGAATTTTTGCCTATTCAATGCACTAATGATTTCAAAAATCTAGTTTGCTAATGGCACTATACCCCTTTTAGAAGAGGATAGAGTTTTACAAGGACTCCCTTAATTGTTCAGATTTTAAAGGTCATCTCTGGGCTCAAGGTTACTTTTTGTTTTTGTTTTTTTTTTTTTTTGGGGGGGGGGGGGATGACGTGCCCGGTCTTTGCTTGTCTCCCGTGGATTCAGACTCTTGACCCCGTAAGAGTCTGTTGTATTCTTCAGTGGTCCCTCGGTATCTGGTATTCCTTTTGGAGGAGTCCTAAACGTCTGCATACTTGACCTATAATTTGTTGCTTTCAAGTGTCTTATAGGGGATGTCTCATTCTCCTATTTTGTAGCTCTTCATTTTCAAAATACAGTTCTCTTCCACTTAAAAGAAGTAATAAACAGTAAAGAACAACGCATAAAAGACAGCATAGATTGAATGGACAATGTAAATGGATTTCTAAGGAATAATAACGAATAATGGAAACAGCAAAGAATAAGTGAATGGATGCTCGTGATGCCTAAAAGGATCGTACCAATTTCAGCACCCCAGGAGTGCCAGGATCTTTCAGCGAAGTTTTGTATTTGGCGCGCTTAATCACTTGTACAGTAGACATATTAACCCAAAGCTACTGAAGTTACAGTTCAAATCGATTGAGCTCAAACAATCCGATCCCAATTCAGTTCAAATTTGTCTGAAGTTTCATGAAACCTGCAGACTATTGACAAGGACGATTCTTCAAATAATTTACATGCGAAGCAGATTATGCTGATCAGAAACAGAAACTAAAAAATCAGCACCAAACTAAACTCCATAACCTAGTAAGGATCTTCATTCCTGATGCTTTGGGCATTAGCATAAGAGGAAAAATGAAAAAATCGCATATTCAAAACGAAAACCAAAGGAAACCAGGGCTGCCCATGAGATACAGGGGAGATGTGATTTCAGAACGCACCTGTGTTCACAGAACATATACAGCGCAAAGTAGGCGGTGCTGCCGCGGACGGTGTCCGGTTCAGGTGGTTTCAAAATTGGGTGAAGAAAATAGGAATTAGGAAGAGTGAAGCGCTATATGGGAGAGTATGAAAAATTGAAGACACTGAAGGATTGTGAAAATGAGATCGATGATCAACCGCCTAAAGCATTGAAATATAGGATTTCTACTTTCTCAGTGACAAGCAGTTCCAGATAGGATTGAGCCAGCGTTCGCTCGCTTCTGCCTCTCCGGGCCAAGTGGGTGGCGCTGCCCTCTCCAGCCAACAGTGTCTGTGGAGTCTGGTGAAGGACCCAACAGGCAACTTGGAACGGAAAGTAGAATGACCGTGCCCTCAAAAATATAAACTTTACTTTCAACTCATTGATCATTGACTCGTCCTCCCCTATGGTTTTATCTTTATGTCGAGGTCAAAAAAATAAAAAATTCTATACGAGATGTGAGGCCCGATGGAGGTCAAGACGGAGAATTTCAAAAATAGATTCAAAACTAATACTACTACGGTCCTAAATATAAGAATTTATATTATAAAATGATTCTTATATTTAGGTTATACAACAAAATGAGTCCTATTTTATAATATAAATTATATTGTAAAATGAGTCTTATTTTGTGTGAATCTTATATTTAGGACTAAAAAAGTACGGTATGAGATTGTCCAATTCTTTTTTTTTAAAAAATCCGATCATTCATGGTTCATTACAAGTTAAATAAGAGCTTTTATGTGGTGCTATGTTATTGAAACTATCGATAATTTATGGTGATTTGCTCGGCCATTGTATATTGTTTCCATCTTGATAGTTGCCTCTTTTTCTAGCAAGCCATGTTCGTCGCCTAGGCTAGATAAGTGCTCAGCGCCGAGCTGTCCAACGGAAGAATGTTCATCACTTTTGATAAAACGCTAGCAAAATTAATGATCCAAACCATACACGTAGAATCAAATGCAGACGTAGAAAACTAACTCTTCAAGCAGCAATATAAACCACCCATTGGGCGGTTGGGGTCTACCTCTTCAATCTCAAGTTCACCTACATAACAAATCTCCTACAAATCATCTACCCGTCAAATAAAAAGCCCCGTGTTTAGATGTTGATATGTTCAGGAAGGTTGATGCATGCAGAGTTTCTTTTACCCCCTTTTGCGGATAGTGCATGTAGGGTTGCTACTGTTTTACTTCTTCAGTTGCTTCCGCTTCAGCATTTTGCTCTTGTAATTGGTTTTTACAAATTCCATAGGGCTAGGCAATCATGCCACCAGACCCTACTCTACCGTGCTTGCCACTTGTTTGGAGATGAGAACACTTTTTTATCAACTCTTGTTTAGAGATTTTGTGTGTGTGTGTGTGGAGATGTGTGAGCCATTTCTCACCTTTATGTCCGTCTTTTTTAAATTTTTATTAAATTTTTTATATCTATTATATTAAGTTTTTGATCACACATATGTAATTAAAAAATTTGACATGATATATATAAAAAACTTAATTTAAATATTTTCATCTTAACAATCTTTGCTTAATCTTGTATTTAATTTTATTTCTTTTTTTTTTTGCCAGCATGTTTGATTTTATTTCTATGTCTTACCTTTTTCTATATTCTTTTGTTTTGTTGTCTACTCATTCTCATTTAGTCTTTATAGTTTATGAGATGGGTTTTAATGTGCGTAATCATTTTAACTTTTGACGAAGTTTTTTTTTAAATGTATGGGTACTAAATCAAAAACTAAAGAATTCACCAAAAAAACTGAAGAAAATATTAATAACTGTGAAATAATTTTCCTAAAATAAAATACAATCTTAACTTTCAATAAGTTATAAATAATACTACCTCCGGTCCTAATTATAAAAGCCAGTTGACTAATTTGAGAAGATTAAGAAAGTAAATTGAGTTAGTTATTTGTCCTAAATAGGTGTTGTCTTTTCTAAAATATCCTCACTAATCAAATATATTGACTAGAACTATCATTATTAAAAGGGTTACTTTGAAAAAAAAAATATAAATATGATAGACGAAGTGAATTGGGGTCTTATATTTAAAATCAAAATAAAAATCAAACAGGACCTTATATTAAAAAATAAGAGGTAGTATAATTTACTTTTGATGTGATGTAACGAGAATCACGCTAAAAAAATATATTTTAAAACATGTGAGCATACCTTTTGATTTTTTTGGCCAAAATATGTGAGCATGTTTAAATGAACGTGTCCTAAAATAAATCCTATTGTACGGTTGGCTCATCATGCCTCGCAGGTGGCAGGAAGCTGCGGATTTTTCAGAACTGCTTGCGGAACACAAGCTCACTTAGCTGCTGATCTTCCAGAGTCTAGACCGCACAGCCATACTGGTTCTCTCAATTATCTTCCCTCGATTCACCGGCGACGCCGTGTTTCCGCCTCAAGCCTGAGCAGCGCAGCCGCACTTGATGAGGTCTGCTGCATCTTATAGGCTTTTCCTCCATTTCCTTTGAAAGCATGGGTGAGTTTCAAGAAAGAAAAAACCCTAACATTGCTTCTGTATTTTCAGTGTTCGACCTAGATAGAATCATATTGGAAACTTGCAATTCTCCATACTTTTCCCTCTAGCGTTTGAGAAGCTGTCTTCAACCGCTCCTTGTTAAAATTTATCTGCACTGTTTGAGGTAAGAACTCCCTAATTGGCTCACAATGTGCATTTTATTGGCTATTTTCTCATTGTTATGGTTTATTGTCCATTAATTTATTTTGAAATCAATATGGTGTTGTAAATTTGCATATTTCATTCTATTTACTGTAGTATATATATTTTTAAAATTCCAGTAGGAGGTTTGTGGTTTGAGATTTTATTGACGTCCGTTGGCTTAGGAGGAATAAGTTTTTAAGTTTCTGGACAAGCTTTAATGTATAGAAGCAGCAATCTTGCGGCAAGGGTTTTCGAGCGTCAAATTCGCACTCCTGCTCCTGGCACTAGTGTAAGTTTTTCCAATCTCCCAAGTGATATTTTAGATCATTTCTTTGTTGGTCTTCATACGTATTTTTCAATATCCATTTTTGTCTGAGTATTTTTGTACAAAACCAATTATTTAAAATGAGTGCAAATGGAGTGAATGAGTTCGGAGGAATCGTAATATTCCTATTGTCGTAGATTTGTTGAAGATTATAATGAATTGTTTCCTTCATTTAACACCTTAAACTTTTGGGTTGAAGTGGTCGATGACCTCATATTTGAACTTCTAGGATGAATTGGTGTTGAGAGTATGATTTCTTCCTGCTGCCATTCTCCATGATTCATGAAATTTTATGACAAACCAGCATGTCTATGATTTGTTCACACTTGAAGCCCAAAAGGCTTTCTTGAGTCATATTGGAGATCATAATAAAACTATTCATAGGTCTTCATGTAATAATTTAAGCTTTTAAAGTGAATTAGTTTCTTTTACCATAATAATGATGAATTATAATGTTCGCCACTCTAAGCTCACGCATTTTTCGTCCTTAAAGTAATTAGATTCTTCAAATTGCAATATTTAGGCTTTAAATTGTGAAATTAATATCAAGATCTAAGTGATGATGAAAGAAAAGCATGAAATTCCAAGCACATTGGTGCCAAAACATGAAGATTGATGTTGAGCTTTCATGCCGTTTTGATATAGGACAGCAAAGGAAATAGTAACGGGATAATTACAAATGTTCCAAGATATTTGCGGAGTTTATATGGTATATTTAGTTGTAGACCACACCTCATAAGTATTGGATTTTTGTGACAACTACAGGTCATTCACAACTTAGTCATCTGTATTTGAAATGCAAATTTATAATGTGTTCCATTTTGGTAAATTTGCTATACCTTTATCAGAGGAGTCAAATAGCATTGTCGGGAAATTTTTGGGAAATTTTCGAATGTTGTTTTGTTCCTCTGTTAAGGGAACCTGAGTTGAATTTAATTTTTGCAGGTGTAATTTAATTCTTGCAGGTTCATTATGCTCGGCGGTTGTATGAAAATTTGGTACCAAGTTACACGTTATATGAGGTTGAATGCCCAGACCATTCATTTCGCAAATTTACTGATGATGGTCAATACCTCATAAGTTTCAGCAGAAATCATCAAGAGTTGATTGTTTATAGAACTAGATGGCTTTCTTATTCATGCAAAGATGAAGATTGTGATAATCACGACTTGCCTCCAGATGCAAAGAGATTTGAGAGTTTTTTTACCCAGTTATATTGTGTACCACTTGCTTCTTGCAATGAACTTATTTGTAAAGATTTCTTTCTTTACATGGAGAATAATCAATTTGGTCTATTTGCTACCTCTACGGCACAAATTCATGATGCACCTGCTGTTGGAGGAGCTGTCCAGGGTGTTCCTTCAATAGAAAAGATAACTTTTCACCTCTTAAGGTTCTTGCTCATGTTTCATAATGTAATTTTTTTTATTATTTTTTTCTAACGATAATATGGTTCCGTTGTATTTATCCATTTTTTTCTTCTCTTTTTATCAATATTTAGATTGGAAGATGGAGTTATCCTGGATGAGAAGGTCTTCTGTAATGATTTTGTTAATTTGACCCATAATATGGGTGTCTTCTTGTATGATGACCTATTGGCCATTGTATCACTTCGCTATCAAACAATACACATTCTTCAAATCAGGGATTCTGGGCACCTTGTTGATGTACGTGCTATTGGGGCGTTCTGCCGTGAAGATGATGAACTTTTTCTCAATTCAAGTTCTCAGGTTAGCGTTATATGCATACTTTTTTTTGTCACTTTCATACATATTTCTTTTGAAACAATAAAGTATAATGATCAGAAGCATTTGCTTCATGTAGCATATATGAATCACTCAGCTAACAAGTAAAAGTAATTACTGACAGGGCACGTCTTTATCTGACAAAAGTAAGCAGCAGCCTGGAAACCACAGTGAAAATAATCAAGGCCAGCCTACTCCAGAGAATCGTTTTCTGAGTGGTATCAAACAGCGTTTGCTTTCATTCATATTCCGGGGGATCTGGAATGAAGAAAGAGATGACACCTTGGTTGGTTCTTTGGTTTCACCTTTTTATTGGCAATTTTTTCTTTGCATGTTTCATCCGGTTCTTTGATAGTTCAGTGATCAGCTCTTGTCTGCGCCTGGGCTGTCATAAACCATTGCTCTTGGGGGTTTATCGGGCTGAATATTCAGGAGCTCGTAACGATTTTATTTTAATATTTAGGAAGGGAAAAAGAACTGGGAAGTTCGGTGGAGATGTGCTATGTTTTATTTGTGAGGTTCCTTTGGATTGTTAATAATAGTAGGGACATTGGAGACCTTTAACTTGTTTAATTTGCAATAAAATTGTTCATTTAGCGCCTCTTAGGTTTCTTCCTATTCCTGGTTTAGTTATTTCTTGTGTAAATATCAATTTTCAACATTGTTAGTTTATCACTGTAATTTTCTGGATTTGTATCTGCCAGAGGGTCCAAAGCCTGAAGAAGAAGTTTTACTTCCACTTTCAAGATTATGTGGACTTGATTATGTGGAAGGTATGTCATCCAGACATTTTATGCATGCGTATGAGAAGACTAGCGTGCATTTTTTCAATGATTGAATCCTTGTTTTCATAATCGTTTTACCCTGTGCATCCACTCAGACATGTCACATGTAACAAGTTGCTCTTATTTGGCTACCGAGCAGGTGCAATTCTTGGATCGACACCACCTGCTAATCAAGTTCGGTAGTGTAGATGGAGGGGTCAGTTTTCTTCTCGTGTTGTTTATTGTTCTAATGATTCACTTCCTGTTCCTCAGCATTTAGAGTGGAATCTGCATTATGCTTTTGCTTAAAGTAATAAAACTAATTTGTGTTGCTCTTTCATGTTTTGACGCTTCAGGTGTCAAGAAATGCTGATCACCACCCAGCTTTCTTTGCTGTATATAACATGGAAACAACTGAAATTGTATCATTTTATCAGGTGGCTTTTTCGTCATCCAGTGTTTTATTTTCTTGAACTTTGACTGCATATTATTGAGTGCTTCTTATGGGTTTCGTTTCTGACTCTTCTTTGCGTTTTGTTAGAATTCAGCAGACAATCTTTATGTGCTGTTTGAGCAGTTCTGTGATCACTTCCATGCAACATCAAGAGATTCTATGTATATGAATTTCATATCATCTCACTCAAATAACATTCATGCTTTGGAGCAATTGCGGATCATAAAGGATAAGGCAAGCAGCTCTTCGCAGGTAGCCACTCTTGCTGTCTATAACCTTGATCCCCATCCCTGAGGTAAAAGAAAATGCAGTGTATAATGCGTTAAACTGCTATGTAAATTTAATTTCATTTTGCAGTTTGTGAAGAAGATGCTTTCCTCCTTGCCTTTCAGCTGTCAATCACAGAGTCCTTCTCCTTATTTTGACCAATCTCTCTTCCGGTTTGATGACAAGGTATCTTTCAGACAAATTTTTGGCTTTCTACTCTTTGTTCGTGTACATATTATAATCTCACAACGTCTTATAATTAATTCCCCCCATTACTGTAGTTGATTTCTGCAACTGATCGGCATAGGCAATCAACAGACCACCCAATCAAGTTCATTCTAAGAAGGCATCCGTATTCTCTCAAATTTAAGATCAAACCAGGTTTGCATTATTCACTTGTTTTTTCATCTATGCATAAAATGGACACAAACCTTTCAGACTCCAGGTTTCTAAGGTGAAGGCAATGCACCAATGCCTACTCCTCTCTCACTTTTCTCAATTATTAGCAATATATTTTTGGGTTTCCATTAGAATTGTTTTTGGTGATCTGTAGTCTGGTGAACTCTGTTCTCCTTGTGGAACTTTAACCCGATTTTTGTCATCCGTTCAAACTCTCTACTAGGTCCTGAAGGTGGTAGTATGGATGGCCGAGCCAAGAAGATCTCGTCATTTCTGTTCCATCCATTTTTGCCCCTTGCTCTCTCTGTTCAACAGACTTTGTTCTTGCAGCCATCAGTTGTAAATATTCACTTTCGAAGATGAGGATCACAGTTTTGATTTACCCTACTACGCCGTAGACCATTATAGCTGAATCGAGAGATTGTATATTTATTCGTTTACTTGGAAATGTTATGTTATTCAAGCACTGCAATTTTACGTGCTAATGATCTCTGCGAGCCCTCCAAGTCACTTCATAACTTTCCTTTTCACCCAAATTGTCTCTTGGGAATGCAATCTCTTAATTCGGATCCTGAACTTCAGAGGAGAATAGTTTTCAAGGAAAAAAGCGAATATAGATCGATTGTAAAACTATTAAAAGAGCGAATATAGATTCAAACAATTGAGATATTTAAATTTTAGATAGTAACTCTCAATTTGCATCTATTTCTATTGATATTTGCAACTTGTTTTGGGATGGCATTTTCTCAATGTTTGGCTGATATAACTTTTTATCGCTTCCTCTGAAATTTAACTATGATAAAATAAATTCGGGTGAAAAAAAAACTACGTTAAAATAAAAGTAAGTATATCCATTATTTAAAGAAAAATAATAATAGGCTTACATTTAAAAGAACATATTTATTTTGATCTAAAACAAAATAGCAACTAACACCAGAAAATTATAGTCAGGCCAAAAAGATAAACGCCGGAAAATTATGGTCTTGATACTGAATTAAACCTGGATCTTGTTCGTCTACCAGTTAGGTTCTAGGAAGTCGTGGGCCAAGGCATCCAGCTTTCCAAATACATTTCTTCGTGTCATTTTTTATGGTTTTTGAAAAAAACTGTTAAGTATTTCGATTCCTAATAACTACTAACTCTAATCCTAATTATAAGACTTTGTTTATAGTCTATAAACGAGATTTTATAATTAGAACCAGAAGTAGTATTAAAATCAAAGTGACTTGCATATTTTAAAAATTGTTTCAGAACCCATTTCACGAAACAGTAGAATTTCAATAAAAGACTCAATATCATCACAAATCACCAAATCTGTATAGCATACCTCGCTATATTTTGGGCTTACAAGTGACATTTCATGTACGTTAAGCAATCAAATAGACCACAAATTAAAGTACAATCCCATAGTTCATTTTAGTTTACATGTGCACACACACCAGAGTTCTATCAGTTTAAGTGGACAATGATCCTTAGCAATGCCTCTGCACCATCTGCGGCAATCTGGCCTGGAGGGATGAGTGATCTAACCTCTGCAAAACCCCTTGCGTTCTTGAACTTGCCAGTTCCTCCGGTGACGGACAAATGTGACATGGTGCTCCCAATCTTGTACACCCCATAAAAGTTCAAGCTATCACCATATTCCCCTCCTTCAAACATGGCTGTGAACACCATCATCTGTCTAATCCCATCAGCTGAACTTGCCACATACACACCTTGAGCCTTTCCAATTGTCTGAGACCCCAACTCAGGCTGAATAGTCAAGAAATCATCAATCACAGTGATTGTACCAAACCCAAGTCCCAACCCATCATTTCCTAACAGTGGCTGATTACCATTCTGGTTGTTGTTGTCAGCTGAGTTTCCTCCAGCAAAAGCAGTTCCCGACAGGCCAGTTCCTAGTGGGATTCCAGTAACTGCATTCACAGTGGGAACAGCACCATTGGCATTTGGGATGGGAACTGCACCAGCTGGAGTGTTGAATCCTGTTGGTTCTGGAAAAGGTACCTGACCACCGTATATGCTTCCCAACAAGCCTGTCACTGGACGAGCTGTGGGATTGCTTCCTCCAAGAACATCATGCATGTATAGTTCAATAATGGGTTCTTTCCCCGTCGCGGAAACAGGGTCCACTGCTGTTGATACTGCTAGACTCATTGCCAAATGTGCAAGACCAAGCGTTATGGCCAGAAAGGTTGAAGCTGAGAATCCCATTGACGTCTTTAATTGTGTTGCCAAGTGTTAGTATGCTTGACTGAGATGAGATATCGATGCAACGGAATGCTAAGTGACGGTCTTTATATATTGGAGCGAAATCGGAATGAAATGGAGTGGTTGTTTTGAGATTCAGATATGGATGCGGTGCAAAGTGAAGTTGTTGGAAGCCAGACAAAAAGTAGAGCCATTATGGCTTTAAGTGAAATTAGATACCGAGCGCTGTTTCTGTTCAGTTGCATGAGAGAGACTGCTATTTTGCTGAGAAGTTGAAGACTTTGCGAGGTGGGTGCAACTAAACCAAACCTTCATTTGTAAACATTGATTAATTGATTAATTATTATTTCAGAATTAAAAATAAAAATTACGCGCACGGTTTATGTCAGAGGCAAGAAACCGAGAGTAACTTTGCATGATCTTTTACCTTGTTCAAATTCGGTGAGATGAAAAGGGGCAGCTATGGCCTATAAATCATTTAATTTGGTTAGAAGCAAAATACGATACCATTAAAGTTCATGTCTCATGAGGAAGTCAAATATAGAAAATTGAAACAAATCCTTTTCTTTTTCTATTCCTTTTTTTTTTTTTTTGGTTTGTATGCTCAGTGTTCACCGTTCAGGGTTTTAGGCGCTTTCAACTTCTTTCTATTATCCAAAATTAAAAATTTCAAGGAAATTATAAGCCGGATTTCTTATAATTTTATTTATTTTTTCTTTTCGTACAGTCACTATTCAGCAGCTTTCAATTTCTTTGATTACTACTAAGGTTGTGTTTAATAAATAAACTAAAGTTTAAATTTTTTGTTGGAAAAATATATTAATTTGATAATTTTGTGATTAACCGTTCAACCAACACGTGTTGTGTACTTGTGTTGATAGATTACAGCGAAAGTCAAACGCAGTTATAGTATTATTTGACTTGAACATGTCAACCAAGCCAAATCGTATTGTCCGTGAAAAATCCCGGTCTAAGATCCTGTTCGTTTTTATCCAAAATACTGCACTTCAGTGATTCCATTTGGGCGTCCTGGTTTGCGTCATTTTGGCGCCCTTCAGTCTTTTACGCTGTTCATGGAATCCAACCAAAGCGAAGTCGCCGACTGGGGCCGGAAGGCATGGAACTTGCTGGACTTAGTCCGACGGCAATCGCCGCTTATCCAATGCATCACGAATTTCGTCTCCATGGATCTTATGGCCAATACCCTCTTATCTGCCGGTGCGTCTCCAGCTATGCTTCACTCCATCGAAGAGATTCCTGACTTCACTCCGCACGCTCACGCTCTCTCCATCAACATTGGCACTCTCTCCCCCTCTTGGTTTCCGGCCATGAAAGCCGCCGCCACTCTGGCCTCTGAGTTGGGTAAACCGTGGGTTCTTGACCCGGTTGCTGTCAGTGCCTCTGCTTTCCGTATGAAGGCTTGTCTCGAGCTTGTAGCGATGAAGCCCACTGTTATTAGAGGAAATGGCTCTGAGATTATTGCTCTTTCCAAGGCTGCTTCTTTCACTGAACTAGCGTCTAAGGTAACGCGTTCTGTTTCTCTCAAACTCTACGGGACACGAAGCAATTATCATTATTCATTTTAGTATCTTTTTTCAATCCATTAAATTTTAATGAAGGTCGTGTCGTTTTCCTAAACTTTAATGTAAACTAGTCATTAAGTGGTTGGAGAAATTGCGGTTGGCATTAAAAGGTCTGTGTCCAGGAAAGAGATGGTGAAAGTTCCAAATAACTTCTGATAAGAAAATTTCCCGAAGTATTTGTTTGCATCGGATAGTGTATGAGTTATACGTATCTGAGTGTATCACTTGGTTGCTTGAAATTTCCGTGGAATTATATTCTTTAAGTTCTTTTGGTGATGCCGAAGTCTGTTTTCAGGGAGAGTGGAAGGCTGGCATTATGTTAGATAATCTATCAAGTATAGAATTATATCGTCGTACTGCTGTCTTCAGTTGCTAATTAAGCATTGAAGTATCAGGACAAGAATTTACCTCATTTATTTCTTAATGCTTTCTGCTGGAAAGTTCCATGTTGAATGCAGAATTTCCTGTTTCATTTGAAGAACTTTAGAATTGCCGATTTATTTGGGAGAACCTATCTTATATGATGGCTTCCCCATGTTTTACCTTCTACATAGGAGGCAAAAGCATAATTACGTGTTTTCCCTTCTCCGTTCTCTTTGTTTTGATCTCTTTGTCGGCCACTGAGATGAACCTGAACTGGACTGGGAGGACGATCTGGGGAGTGTTGTGGGGGCGGTTTGAACGTTTTAATCATTGATTGGTTGTTTGCAAGTTGGGCGTCGACGACGATGATTTGGAAACCATCCTTAGCCTTCCCACTCGTCTTCAAACCCATCTAGAATGGGCAAGCTGGAACTTTTTGAGCTCCTATTTGGTCTCCATTTTCTTTTTAAACCCCCTTGCCTTGTGGGTTTTTCCTTTCACAAAATGTAAATGGTTAACACCAATAGTATCATCAGAACCCGAACAGTTCAAACTCACACCACCCCCTGTTTCTTTATTCTTTTCTGCTATTTTTTTGTTTTTATTTGTGTTTTTTTTTTTGGGGGTGGTTTGAGATGCCATCTATTTTTTCATTTCCGATTAATGGAGTGGATTGTTTCACCCATCCTGCTCCATATCATTGCGCTTCACTTTTACTGTTAATTACTTGCGCAACTCTACTCCCCTAAAAATTTTCGGTTGGCCCTAGGGTTGGTAAAATATCTTATTTGAGTATGCTGTTTGTCTTTTGGTTGTTCTTATGTTTATTAAGCATGACAAACGACTTTTAGATTGGACTTCGTGTGATTTCAAATGAAGCACAATAGTGTGATCTTTCGAAGAACGTGTGCTTGGACTTCTAAACTTATTTTCTTCCACCATTAACTAGCTTTTTGGCGCATCATTCATACTGATAAAATCCCTAATAATGACCGCAATATCAAGTGCCAAACCTTTGCTTTTTCAGAATACACTAGATTGTGAAAGGATTCTCTGAACTACTGGTTTAAATTTCATTGATGCAAAGGTCTCTTGCGGCAAGCCATTTGGTTTACTTCATCACTAGTATTTCTTGAGAATTTTCTTGCCTCGGGACAAAGTATATATCAGGGACTAATCCTGAACATTTTCTACTTCTGCAACTTCCTTTATTCCGAGAAGCTTTTGTGATTCCATTTTGTAATTTAGCTCTATTCTCAAGGGTGTGGACAGCATCCACGAGTCAGTGGATGCCATTGAAGCGGCTAAGTTATTGGCTGAATCAAGTGGTGCCATAGTTGCAGTTTCTGGAGCCATTGACATAGTGACTGATGGAAAACAAGTTGTTGGTGCTCACAATGGGGTGGCAATGTTGCAGAAGATAACAGCTACGGGGTGTTCAGTCTCTTCCGTCATTGCTGCCTTTGTAGCTGTTGATAAACTCCACGCTTTGGATGCTGCAGTATCAGCATTATCCATATTTGGTGTTGCTGGTGAACTGGGAATGAAGATGGCTACAGGTCCAGCTTCATTGCGAATGCACTTGATAGATTCTCTGTACGGGCTTGATGAAGCTGCTGTGGTATCTCATGTTAAAATCACGAGTTTCTCTTAAATCTGAATTATTTACTCTCAGAAAAAGAGAGAGAGAGAGAGAGAAATCATCTATAGGTAATTATTATGGGATTTGGACCAAATATAAATATAGACTCTTGTCTCCGTTTGGTGATCATCTGAACGTGAAAAGGGATTAGTGGATGGCATCTCAAATCTAAATACTACATGAATAATATTAAAAGTCGCTGGTAACTCCCGAGAACAAGTATGTGGGAGTGCCGTGTTTGTCAATGTTGCATCTTAATATAGTATTGGAGTTTGTGGAGGATGATCTTTGTCTTTTGGCAGTGCCATTGAATTTGAAATTTGTTTCTATTTATTTGCATCTTGAATAATTAATACTTCTTGCCTTTTAAATATTATTCTTGACGCGTCTCAGTTTTTATAATTTTGTTAATTGATATTCCTCCTTTCTGGGGAAAAAAAAAAATCTTTTCTCTGTTCTTCAGGTTAAATTTTTTATTGATCTGAAATATCATGCGCTTTTTTTATCTTCATTTTTTTTTTAAATAGCAGTACTTGTGTCCAGTCAAAATCAAAAGTTTTTCAGAGTCTTGTCACTCTTGAGACGGTTTATTTGTGCTTGAGCTGAATGAAATAGTGGCATGGATAAGAGGAAATTTGTTCTGATCACAGAACTATAATCATATATCACACATAATCTAAATAAGTTTTTACCCAATTTAATTTTTACAAATCAATTTTTATAAAATCTAATCCAAACACAATTCACTTATCCAATTTAACTTTTATCCAATCTCTTTTTTCAGAAGTTAAATTGTAAATAACTTACTTTTTCTACTATTAATCTAAACAGAACCTATATATTATAGAGGGAGGGAGAAATTTAAGAAAAGAAGTGAAAGGTAAAGAGAAGAGACGAGACGAGGGAGCGAAAGAAAGAAAGAAAGAAAGAAATTTCTTTTTATTAAAATAAACAATGAGTTAATTAAGCAAATTAATCCGCCCGCCCAAAAATGAACAGGTCGATCCGATACAAATTGATCCGTTTTCTGGGTGGACTAGCGGGATCCATCCCACAAAAGTCGGGCCATCTTGAAAAAAGTGGGTTGGTTTGGTCCTTCGGTTAGTATTCCCCTACTTCTCTTTCCCCCGGTTTATCGTCCTACAGAGCAGAGACAGGGTGTCAGGCCTGAAATTGAAATTATGATTTCCCAGTAACTGATTTACCTTCTTTTTTAAATTTCCTAACAACCACTTTAGCATCTTTATCGCTGAAGAATTGGGAACCGCCAAAAGGCAACGTAACGAACTTCTTGCGGAGAAACCCTAGACCTCGTAATGTCATTCCTCGAGGAATTTCAAGCCAGTATTCTTCTGTAACTTCATTATTTCGCTACATGCTTTCGATTCTTTTATTCTTCTCTGTGCAGCAAATTTATCTCTTTACGTTAAATTATGTATTTTCTTAAAATTACGCATTGACACGCGAGTTCCCTCTTAACAGATTTGGATTCACTTCCCCATATTCTTCAAAAGAAGTATTCATTGTTACGTGACCTTGACAAGAGTTTACAAGGTGCGTTTAATTTGGATTTATTTTTAGTAGGGCTATCTTTGTTCTTTCACTTTTGCTGCCTGACATTTGAGGTGCGTCTATTTCAATTTTTCTTCGGTCTTTGTGGTCATTATCCTTTTCGGAGGTCGAATGAAATGTAGTAAGTAGAGAAAATAATATCCTTGAAGAATTCAAATGTTGCCAGGATGAATAGGGATTCGCCCAAGGTGCTTTTTTCCCTCGTATTTTTTTGTGATTTGTTATCATTCTATGGATTTTGATTGAAATTATTGGCTAGGACTAATAAAATCTTGAAGCTCGACTTTTAGGATTTGCCGGCTCAAATAAGACTTCGCCCTATGAAACACTGGTACTCTAATCTTATAGGCAGCGCGTAGTGTCGAATTTGTACTAACTTATATCACTTACAAGCAACCCTGTATTGGTTACTTGGAATAATTCTGCCATGAAAACATTGGTTGAAACGATTACAGTTTGTCGGCCATCTTTTTTCCTGCTTTACCCTTGAAGTCACCTGGACTTATGACTCGTGAAAGTAATAAAAGCAGGAGGACCTCTTTTGTGGCATTTGCATATTTGTTTTTGTGTATTTATTATGTAACAATTAATTTGCTATTGCTTGTAGTTAGATTTTCTTTAAAGGAACGATGCAATTTTTTCCCTTTTATGTTTAAATTTGAATATTTTGTTCATGCTTATTGTTTCACGGTATTCATTTTTTTTAATCAACGTTCGTGTGAAGTTTCATTTCTATGTTATGCTGTATTTTGCCTCTTCTAAGGTCATCTGAGCATAGTAAGCGTTTTGATGTGTCATGCATATGAACAGATATTCAAAAGCAAAATGAGCAACGTTGTGAACAAGAAATAGAAGATATTAGACGAGGCGTGAGGTCTGGGAACATCACACCTGATACCTCACTCGTCAGATTCTCTGATGAAGCACTTGATGAGCAAAAGCACAGCATCAGGATTGCTGATGAAAAAGTTGCCTTGGCAGTGCAGGCATACGATTTGGTACTCAATGTGCCCCATCCTTTTCTTTGATAATGAGATAATAGGGAGTCAGTTTTAATTTTTGGGCAGAAGGTTGTTGAATAAACTGCACTTTACCAACTCTTATCCTTTCTTCAAAAAATATTGAGATAATGTCTTTGTTTAAAAAATATATGTACCTAAAATATGAGATCATAGGAGTTGTAAATCCTTGAATAACTACCACTAATTTTTTTTTTTTTGGGGGGGGGGGGGATTACTTTGACATCATATGTTTGACCAAGATACAAGATTTCCAAAGCCAAGCATATCGATCAAAAAATATAAAATAAGCTGTCATTTTGTATGTATCTTGATAAGGCAAAGACTGCATTGATAAATCCTTTTGGTAAAATTAATCTGCAGAACTTTCTGTGCTTGTTTAAATAATTTATAACCGGGCCTTGTTCATGATTCTGACACAGGTAGATACACACATACAACAGCTTGATCAGTATCTGAAGAAGTTTAATGAAGAGCTGAAGCGTGGTACTTTGCTTTCTGATTTTTTCTTCAACGTTATACTAAATCATGATAACAACTTGTATCTTGTGTATGTATTAAACATAGCATTTGTATCCTGCGATAGATAAAGAAAATGCTGCAACGACTGGAGTGCCTGCTTCAGGTCAAGATGGTGGTACAAAATCTGGAAGGGGTAATGAAAGTGGTAGAGGAGGGCGCAAAAAGTATGTAGTTCTTTGTGGAATTTCCCTGATTTCAATCATGTAGCTTGTCCTTGTCATTTTCTAGTCACTGCTCTGTTACTTCATTTCTGCCTGTGACGCTCTTCCAGCTGAGTTATTCATAAGAAGCCCTACGTAGTACCTACAAGTAGAAAATATAAAAAACCTGAGTCTAATAAAAAATTTGAATGATAAGAAAAATGTGATGATCAGGAAAGTCTTTTTTGATCTATTTGGATGGCATTAAGAAGAGGGATGGTGTGATCTGTGAATTGAAGCTGGCAGTGCGTTGTCACCATAATAACAATGGTTCGAAAATAATTACCTGACATATCTAATTTTACTAAAGGATTACTCTTCCCTTTTATAACAATGATTCCACTCCATCAGATAGCAGATTGCATTTTAACCTTGTAATTAAAAGTATCGTCCATAAAGTGAGGGGGCATTTACGTGTGTTTTTTTTTTCTTAATATAATTTCTTCCTCCTGTGATGAATAGTGAATAGGTTTTTGTTCCATGACTGCTGGATCAAACATTGTTGGAAAGCAAAGAAGCAATTTGAATAATTTTCTAATGCCTTTTGAATTATGACTACTGTAGGACACGCCAAGCATCAGCTACAGCAGCACCAGCACCAGCACAAGAAGCCCAAACTACAAATGCAAACCCATCTGGCATGGATTTAGATTTACCCGTGGATCCAAATGAACCCACTTACTGCTTTTGTAACCAAGTTAGCTATGGCGAGATGGTTGCATGCGATAATCCCAATGTATGTATTATGCTCGTTTCTTATTTTTTTAATGCGTTCCTTACACTCCACAGATCCGTTGACATTCCCTCTGTTTTAACAGTGCAAAATAGAATGGTTCCATTTTGGTTGCGTTGGTCTCAAAGAGCAACCCAGGGGAAAATGGTACTGTTCAGATTGTGCAGTGACAAGAGGTCGCCGTAAAGGAAAGTGAGGCTGATAAGAAGTGGATATGTTCAAATGACACTGTATATATGCTTAGAATCTTCAGATAGGAAGTTATTTTGATTTACGTCCTTGGAGCTCTGTTTCCGTACCCTAGATTGTCTAGGAAGATTTGGAGTTGCATGTTTTACTTGAAGTCTCTGCTATGATATGGGGTCTGCCTTGTCGCTCTTCTTGGTCATCCGATGTGTTTCTTCTTGGAGTTGACGACTGGCTTAAGCTGTAAGCCAGAATTGCTCTGAAAGTATGGATTATGGAATGTGGATGGTTTTGGCAGGTAGGCTTCTCGAATGATATTCTGTTATGGTGTAATGAAGGTTTATTATCCGTGTCTTTGCGGTTTTATTCATTTTTCACGTGAATATTTTGTATTTAAAAATCAAAAGGTGGTGAAATAATCAAAATTTATGATGAGATGGTTTTGGGTTTATTTACTTTCTTTAAGAAGTTATAATCTCTAAATAAGTTGCCATTTAACTAATAAATGAACTAAATAATGATAAATTTATATTTATGATATACAGCCGCTGCATAACATTTTCTAAGAAGCTAATATTCCATCTATTTTCTTGTATTTTGTTCAATGAGGAATTTTGAGAGCTAAAGCAAAGCAATATTTAAAGGAATATTGGAGTATATTTTATGCCATATCAAAGTACTACTTTTTTGTTTGCAAAACCGGAAAAAATGATTTCTCGCCAGCAATAATAAATACAAGAATTAATTTCTAAAGAGAATATCAATTAAATTAAAACTTAAATTTGCATATTTCATTTTCAGGAGTTAGAATTGAAAAATAAGAAGGGCTAGAAATTAATATCAAGCATAAAATGACTAAGATATTTTAAATTATACCCAAAAAAAGGGAAACAAAAAAAACAATGTTCAAACCCCCTTAACCTTCATAGCACCATATTAACTGCAAAATCTAAACATCGAATTATCATCCAATTTTTTTTTTTTGTTCATAATTCAGTATATCTGAATAATTTTAGCTGCCATTATCTACCCGAGAAAATACATAAATAATTGCACTGATCTTTTTCCAATTCATTAATACTTTCCATGCCACATTTAAATAGTAAAACGCTATCTGTAAACGTCCCCTTTGCCCCCATCCACCCAACACATCAAGCAAACGATGCAAGGCGCAACAGAAATAATGACTGTATCGGTGCGGCGGCCACATTTTCTACCCGGATAAATGAATAAAAACGTAAGATCTTCATTTTAAACTGAGATTTCAAAATAAAACAATGTCTTATTTGGGTGGTAATGTATTCAGAATTATATCGTTGCAACAATCGGAATTTTTCCTGCCTACGTCCTCATCTCTCACTATGATTACATGAAAGCCTTCACAGAACAATTGGAAAAAACCAAATGGGGCTTCGCACCACTCACTGTCCATGATCCGACTCAAGCGATACCTCAATAGTCCATGCCACCCATACCACCAGCCATTGGGGAAACTTCCTTTTCATCCTTTGGGAGTTCGGCCACGATTGCTTCAGTCGTTGTCATCAAAGATGACACGCTGCACCAAAAAAATGAGATTTAGTTACCACAAGAAGCATTGGCAAGCGTGTAATAAATATTAACAAGGGCACATCCTCAGCATCCTACCTGGCAGCATCAACCAAGGCGGTCCTGATAACCTTCAATGGATCTATGATTCCAGCTTTAACCATATCAACATATTCACCTGATAATGAAGAAACAGCAGAATCAATAAAAGCATAGGCGCAGATGTCACCTTGACGCGGAAAATGAATACGAATAGAGGGAGCAAAAAACACTGACCTTTGGCAGCATCGTACCCAAGATCAGGGTTGTCTTGTTCCAAGAGCTTGCCGACAACAACAGCACCCTCAACTCCTGCATTGGATGCTATTGTGTGCACGGGTGTCTGCATTGATCGTTAAAAGGGTAACAAAAGAATGAGCAACTTCAAGATTCTAACTATACTTGATGTTGAAGGGAAACTAGATATATCCCTGATGTAGTCTGAGGCAGGTCACATTTTTTCTGCTTTATAGCATAAGAACAATGCAACCTAGTTTAGGCATTATATTTTTTGTGATTAAGTGAGCTCTCATAGGGTCAAAGAATGAACCCCCAAAAACAGACTTCATGATACACGAGAGAAGACGGCAAAACAATTTAGTTTATGTTTCCTGTCCTTGTTATTACCAAGAGGTGCCTGCTCAATAGCAAATTGCTATCAAGACTGTAATTTTTCCATTTAAAAATAGGACTTGCCTTGAGAGCATTTTGGATAATCTGGACACCTATCTTCTGATCGAAGTTAGCAGTTTGAAGCTTGTCCAATTCTTTTGATGCATAAAGAAGCGCAATACCACCCCCTGTACAAACAAAGGAGGTTAAATGAGCTAAGATTAAGATAAGAGGCTGTAAAACTAACAACCCAATTAGCCAACCATAGATGAAAATATACCTGGTACTATACCCTCTTCCACTGCTGCTTTAGTTGCATTTAAGGCATCGGTCACTCTATCCTTCTTTTCACCAACTTCAGCCTCACTGGCTCCTCCAATCTGTGAAAAGGAAGCTCATAATATTACCCTTGGCATTACTCCCAAGGGTGTTTACCAGCAGGAAGATTGTCCAGCCCCATAAGAGAGGTGAACTTAAGAAATCATACCTTAAGCACTGCAACACCCCCAGAAAGCTTGGCCAGTCTTTCCTGCAACTTCTCTTTGTCATAATCTGAAGTGCTGTTCTCAACGGCTGACCTGATCTGTTTGTCAAGATACGACACAATTATGAGGTCAGGAACATCAATGCCCAAATACAAATATTTATGTAAATAACCTGACACGGTTAGATTCAATAACACATCCAAAAGAAGCTATATACAAACCTGCTCACATCTTTCCTCGATTCCTTTCTTGTCGCCAGCTCCATCAAGAATAACAGTGTCGTCCTTGGAAATTGTCACCTAAAGCATCATGGTCTCAAATTAGTGATTTACATTGATCCATGCAAAGGGAAGGGAAAATTCATTCCATTTTGTTTGATGCTCATAAACAAATAGGCTTAGACAGCCGTTAGTTCTGTGTAAGAACCATCCAAAACGTTTTACCAATAAGTGGCACCAAGACACATTCAAATATTTCCTCAGCAAAGCTTACTTACCTTTTTGCAAGACCCAAGCATATCCAGATCAACTTTTTCAAGATTCATGCCAAGCTCTTCAGTGATAAGCTAACACAAGACAAGAAAAATGCATCATTAGATGCTCAGAAGAACAGACTTAATCTAAAATTAACCAATACCGGAACAGAAACTTACTTCACCTCCCGTCAGGACTGCAAGATCCTGAAGATTTGCTTTCCTATTTTCACCAAAACCAGGGGCCTTAATGGCACATACCTAGGGAAGTGCACCAGATGTCACATTGAATCAGCACAAAAATAATAATAATAGCAGCTAAATATTCCAAGATAGCTCTAAGACCTTAATAATAGCTAAGAACATTAGCAAAACAAACCTTGATACCAGCACGAAGCTTATTTAGAATAAGAGTTGCCAGAGCATCACTTTCTACATCCTCCGCAACAATCAATAGAGGTCTTTGTCTCTGAAGTTAGACAAGTGTCAGTCATCATCCAAAGTTTCATAATCAACACCATGAAACAATGTAAACAATTCTCACCTTTAGAGCTAACTCCAATACTTTAACCACAGCATTGATGCTCGAGATTTTCTTCTCATGGATTAGAACAAGAGGATCTTCAAGTTCCTATTGCACAAGATATTGCAGGAGTGAGCATGCATTGAGTGGTATTAACAAATATGGTGCTGCCACCAGGATTTTGAACACGCCTTTCTGCAGCAAAATTTCAAAGACTTGTCATGCATTACAGAAATAGAGAGAGGGCATACACATTTCTGGTTCTTCTGGTTTGTTATAAAGTAAGGAGATATATAGCCCCTGTCTAGCTTCATCCCTTCAACAACTTCCAACTCATTATACAGAGTCTTGCCATCCTGAGACAGTTCAAAAGATGTTAGTTCCCATCACAAACATGAATGTGTAGCAAATAGATTTTTACCGCACAGCCCCTCCAAGAAAAAAGGTAGAGAGAGAGTAAGGTCCATAGTGGAGCTTAAAAGTGAGGACACAAGAAAGCCGAATCACAGGAAAAAGCCAGAATATAAAGGGCAGAGAACAGAGTAGAATACTCCAGAGTTTTTGAAAAGACATTGAAGAAAAAATACAGAAAAACAGCAGAACCTCAGAGAATATGAAGAAAAAATAGTTAAGAGAAAATCGCAAGACAACTTACTGAGATTGTAATTACTCCATCTTTGCCAACTTTCTCCATAGCCCTTGCAATTAACTCACCAATTTCTCTCTCCCCATTAGCTGAAATCGTCCCAACCTATAATTTAAACATAGGAAATTAAAATTGTTAAAACAAAACCACAGTCCATGCTGCAATAGGAAATTAGATACCACAAAGAAAATTCCCAGACCTGCGCAATTTCTTCAGATGTACTGATCATCCGGGCTCTGCTTTTCAAATTTGTCACCACAGCATCGACTGCCATGGTGATACCACGCCTCAGGTCCATTGCATTCATTCCAGCTGCAACTGACTTGCACCCCTCAGTGAATATTGCTCGAGTGAGGACAGTCGCACATGTGGTTCCTGCCAAACAATCAAGCAACAAAGCTTCTCATTTCTGTTATAAAATATAAAACACAAAAAAAAAAAAAGAAACATAACTGGACAATGCATGGATGTCAATTGTTAAACAGCTGGATCGTCCAATATTTAACCATGTTTTGGTAGCAAATCAAGCCAAATTCCAATTCTCACAGAGCTAAGCTATCTAGCATCACATTATAGACAACATCTCACCATCACCAGCTACGTCATTGGTGGCATTTGCAACCTGCTTTACAAGACTGGCTCCAATGTTCTTTACTTTATCCTTGAACTCAACGCTCTTTGCAACAGTCACTCCATCTTTTGTCACTTTAGGGGCACCAAAGCTTTGTTCAATCACCACATTACGCCCCTACAGCATTAAATATAGAATATGAAGCTTCAAAAGAAAAGACCAGCTATAGGATCTTTCATTACTTCTTGCTTTGGAATAATGTAATTATCCAAGTGGACATTGGATCAGCACTTATACCATCCAATCATTCACTTCCACTCTACCCTCCATATTTTCCACTTATATTGTATCAGGAATCAATCTAGTTATGCACAGCAATCCAAAAACTGAGGTAAGTGAGCGTACACTATGAGCTAGGTTACCTTAGGACCCATCGTCACTCTCACAGCGTCAGCAAGCTCTTCAACACCCCTAAGCATTAAAGCCCGAGCCTCCACACCAAATTTAATGTCCTTGGCCGCATAGTTTCTTCTCCAACTCAACCTACTTCCAATCTATGGCAGGCCACAAAAATAACACAGATTAAGTGTAAGTTAAGAGTGAGAATGATTGATTCCAAAAATATACTAAAATTTAAAGTGCTATTCGGAACATTGCACCACCTGTTGGCTGCTGCTCCTAGCAATCCTGAAATCGAAAGAAAATTAAATTAAAAGTCAGGGCATTTCAACGCTTATTGACTTGCGCCGTAATTCAACTAAAGGGATTGTTAATCCCAAATGATCAAAAAATAAGCGAAAAAAGTCGCAGGATCTGAGATACATTTCCACAAGGACTAAAAAAAAAAGCCTGATTCCATTTCACATATTTTGGTAAATAGCCCAAGAGTTAATACACACATCAGAAAGCTACGGTATTTAGACGGTATGCAGCATTTCGGCCTAAAAAAAAGACGGGATGCAGCATGGAAAAGAAGTTCAAAACTCCAAACGTAGAATCGCATAGTTAGCAAAATGGTCGTTCAGAGTTTAGAGTTACCGGGCTTTGGAGGCCAGGCTAGAAGCAAAGCGATACATGGTGACAGTGGGAAGTAATGAGAACTAGGGAAACACTGAAGAATGGCAACGTCTAAAAGCAAAGGGAGCGAAGGAAAGTGGTAGCAGAGCGCTGCGTTGCAGGGCAACAGCGAAATGGAACAGAGAAGCAGGAAGAGAGCCTGCTTTTTCAAGAGAAGGGAAGGCTCTAGAAGAAGCACCTTCTAGGGTTTAGGGTTTTGTGCTCCAAGTTTAAACCATACCCATATTTCGTTTAACGGGTCACCGGGATTTCCTTTTTCGCCCTCATAAATTTACTAGGCCGAAAAATATTGAACCGGTCCCCCGGGCGGCTTAACCAGAAGCCCCCACCCGAATCCATGTGCACGAACCGGCAAAGTATTTGCCTTCGCTCCGTTTGGTATTTGCCTTTTTTTTTTTTTTGGGCCTTCGCAAAGGGTGGGATTCCTAGCATTCCGGCCCATCGGGTTGGTGAGCTCGTGCTTCGAACGCTCCGTTTGGTATGTTTTCTTGCGGTGTTCATTTTCCCCAGAATGTTCCTTACTTTTTAGGGAAGGAGGATGTCGCCTAATTCTTTTCAAATGTCAGCGGCTGAGGCAATTTAGATGAGGAAAATTAAAAAAATATATCTCTAAAATTTTAAATTTTTAAATTAGAAATGAAAATATGTTATTATTTGTTTCAGTTACTATTAAAGTATGGTGAATAAAACTGATTTAAAATTTTAAAATTTAAAGGTATTCTTTTAAAATTCTCCCATTTAAATTCTAACTGTTAACTATAAATGATAATTAAATAATCTTGAAATTAAAAAGAAAACAGATATTCAACAATCCTTCTTGTTTTAGAATCTGCACAATCCAATTATTAGCATTAAAGATACCATTTTTGCTCACTAGAAGTGTGTTTTTGGTGCATGTATATTTTTTATTAGAAGTAACCGTGTTAAAACACTATTTAGTATCAAATATAAATGGATTTTTGTTGAGAACTTGAACTTGAATATTGATTCGTCACATTACAAAAAACTAGTCTCTTTTATTAAATTCAACTCGTCACTGTTATAGATTGCCTTCGTAGTAGAGTGAATCAACTTCTCTTACCAAATACGCCTCACTCTCTCAACTAGTATAGCTTCATATTGAAGTGACAAGTATTCTTCATGCAATATCAAATTACTCTAAATTTGCGTGACTATTTTTATAGTTCAAATATGAACTATAAAAATAGTAAATAGTTAAACAAAAATAATCAATATGTCTCCAACAATATTTGATACATTTTTGAATTTTTAAAATATAAGTGGTTAATAGCAAAATTATGGTAGTTAATAGCTAAGTAATAGTAATTTTCATTTTAAAAATAAAAGTAGTCAATCATAATATTAAAGTAATCAATAATTAAATAAGAATAGCTATCAAAGTTTTAGAAGCAAACGCAGTCAATACTTAGTCATGAAAACTACGACAATCGGTTGCTAGAGCTCCGATAACATTTATTAGAGGAGTCATCAATGCTAGAGCTCCAACAATTAAAACCTAGCTAAAGATGTTGAGATGCCATTATTAAAAACAAAAAACAAAAAAAAGACAGTGAAGGCCATTTATGTTATTTTGTAAAATTTAAAAATTTCAAAATCGTACTAGATATTTTATTTGAGATTTTAAAATTTACCATAGTGATTTAATAATTTTCAAAATATTTTATTGTCTTTTTTCAATTAAATATGAGATTCTTGTATAAAACGTCACAAATAGCTGGGCTTTTTGTAAATTGATATACAATTAAATTATAATAAATTGAATATCCATGATGAAATTACATATAGACACATGGACAGTGACATAATCTTTTTGCCACAGATAATGATATAATATATAATTATATGTTAATATTACTTACCACCACCAATTTCTGTGAGAGAAAAAAGGGAAATTCGGGAACTCACGTACCGAGCCACAATCCTCACCTGCGTGCTCCCTCTAGGGTAAACAGCGACCATACCCGATCTCCCCTGCCTTGTTCCCCAGAATCCGTGGCTTGAGAATCACATTGAACCCATAGCAAAGGATCAAAGATGACGGAGGCAACGATAAGGAATAAGCCCGGCATGGCCAGCGTCAAGGACATGCCGGTCCTTCAAGATGGTCCTCCTCCCGGAGGATTCGCTCCGGTCCGATTCGCTCGCCGAATCCCAAACAAAGGGCCCAGCGCCATGGCCATATTCCTCACCGCGTTCGGTGCTTTCTCTTGGGGAATGTACCAGGTGGGCCAGGGCAACAAAGTCCGAAGGTCAGCTCTCTAGCGCACTTCCTGTAAATCTTGATTTGGTTTCCAATTTTCGATTTGACATTTTATTGTTTTTGGTGTTCTATTAATTGGGTTTGAAGAATTGGGATGGATTACGAGGACCTTTGTTAGGCTTAGGTTGATTTTAGTTGACATATGCGATTTCTTATATCAGGGATTTAGATATTTTTCAAATTTACGAAGTTGTTTATATTAGAGTCCGTGTAGTTAATTACAGTTGAGTGATGGTTTTTATTCACTCCCTGGAAATCAACTCTGCAAACGCGAGCGTATTATCGCATATTATGCGATCTGTCCACTGAGGATTCTCTTTCTCTTGTTATATGAAATTAGAAATTTGTTTATTTATGCTCTTGTTATCGTTGTAATGGAATTTGATATATGGGATGACGGAATTTTCATCAATTTTAACAGTGTGAAAAATAAAAATACCTGTGAGCTTCCTGAAGGCTTAGAGAGTTGGCGTATAGTAAACATCCAATGCAAAATGGCCCAAAACATAGACCCAGTACAAAGTCAAAAGATGATCATAAAATGACGTAGCATCTTTCTGCGAAATAGCTTTTGATGTAGAGACGTTGGATTTGGCTCAACAGTGATGCATAGGATTTTTGATAAAATGAGGAGAAACCATTTAGAATCGGGGATGAAATGAATAAATATGAATATAAAAGATGGAAACAATGAAAATCATATCTTCATTCATAGACTTCGAAGCTTTGACAGAACGGCACTACCGTGGTATATTTATTCTGATGTAAGTTATGGACGAGGCTCTGATGGTTATTGTGAACTCTCTTGATATTTATCTGTGCATGCTGTGGCGTTAATCATATTCTTTACTGGGCATCTCTTTAATGCTTTGTAGATATGTGTGACACATTGTCCTCGTAAGGTTTAAACTGTCTTTATATTAATGCTTGTAAAAGAACAACCTTAGGCTCTTACATAGTTTGCTGTGACTGTCCAAAATATGTAATATCTGAAGAACAGATCAAGCATTTGCTCACATTCAAGCTTCTGGTTTTCTGCTTCTAAGTCATTGGCGTCTGAAATGTTATGCAATATAGGGTTTTAATGCAGTGTGGTGGGTTCGAATATGATTGTTTCTTGCCCAGCATTGATATTATTCTAACTATGCGTTTGCAATTTTAAGTGAATTTCTTGACAGCTGTTATTTGCCTCCCGTTTTGACTTCCTAGGTGATTTTACTATGGCCTTTTCCGCTTGCCTCATGAGTCAGGAGTTTCTCTTCTGTTATTTTAGGACAAAAGATGGAGAGGGGCCATGCAGAAATAATGGTCCATGTGTGTGTGTTACGGATGCATTGGACTTCAAACCCCTTTTCCCCGGTGAAAAAACTGATCTATCTAAATATTTTAATTTCTAGGGCAATCAAAGAGGAAAAATATGCAGCTCGCTGTGCGATACTGCCTGTTCTTCAAGCTGAAGAGGATGAAAGGTAGGTGATATGTTTCTTCGTATCAGGATGATCTATGATGAAGAAACATTTGTTGCGTTGGGCATTAAACATTTGTCTGCTTTATTTCTCCAGATTTGTTAGGGAGTGGAAAAAATATCTGGAGTACGAGGCAGAAGTAATGAAGGATGTGCCTGGTTGGAAAGTTGGTGAGAGTGTGTATAACTCCGGCAGATGGGTGCCGCCAGCAAGTGGCGAGCTGCGTCCTGAAGTATGGTGAAAATGTTTTAACGCATCACCATCCAGAGTCGGCCTATCGGATGCTGTGATCCACATGGTACTTGTGTTCCTGTTTCTAAATCCAATAATGTATCTGGAACTCTTGTAATCGCCTTTCAGAATGCTATGACATCAAATTTTTATTTCACTATATGGGGGCATGAAGATTTGAACCTTAAGCGAAGTGTGAACAATCCGAACCCTCTAGAAGGAATACTTTGAATTTGTGTTTATGTTGTCCCCTCGCCCTCAATTCAAGTAAGGGTGGATAAGCATCGTTGCCGAGCGTATTTGACGACGTAGTCTTACATACAGTAGGTCTTCAGTTGTCGCCCCGCCTTACCTCATGATTATCAAAATCCTCCAGAGATCTGCATGCAAGGATTTGAAGTGAGCTGAACTTTATGTCAATAAAATAAACGCTCAAGTGAATTGAAAAGTCCTTCTCCTCCCTCGTTCGGGTCAGCTTCATCCCCTTTTTAAACTTTAAACTTGTCCCGTAACAATTTGTCAGGAAAAATGCCAGTCATAAATCAGTTCCAAAATCCCACGGATCTTTTTATCTCAGAGAATCATCCAACCCGTCGGGAGACTCTGGGCTCATGGATTATACTGTATTATCTTTGGTATTTTATGTATACCCTACAAATGAGATCTCAAAATTTAGGATTGAAGGTAGTACCACTCTGTTTCTATTTACAAATCATTTATACTCTAAACCCGCAAATTAAGACAGTATTAAATTGGTAATTTCCCCCCACATTTATACTTATTAAAGAAATTGTATTAAATTTTTTTTTATATTTTCTCTTATCTATTTACTTTATCTCACATTGCATTTATTAAGTCAACATGGGTAAAAATTAAAAAAAAACTCATTAATTATCTTACAAATAATTTATATTTGGGAACAAATTTTTTTCTTAAAAATAACGTATAAATAAGGACAGAGTGATATACCCGCATACATGATTAAAGCATATTAGTTACATGGGGGGTTGTGATTAGTCACTGTTTTAATTAAATATTTATCACGTGCCAAGTGAAAATATTACCACTTCCGCTCATGTGGGTTGATTAAAATACTAACAATTATTTTTTTATTCATTTATAATAATTTCTGTTCCAATTTTTTCTTTAAAAAACGGGAAGTAGAAGAAGAAAATTCCCGGGAGTGTGCTCTCGCGCTTCTGGGCGATTTGCTAATTTGCCATACGCGATCTCCGCAGTCTTGTTTTCAGAATCCGTAGCCTTAGAATCACATTGAAACCATCGTGAAGCATCAAAGATGGCGGAGGCGATGATGAGGAAGAAGCTCAGCATGGCCACATGAAGGACATGCCTGTGCTTCAAGATGGTCCTGCCCCCGGAGGATTCGCGCTGGTCCGATTCGCTCGCCGAATCTCAAACAAAGGTCTCGGCACGATGGCCATATACCTCGCTGCGTTTGGTGCTTTCTCGTGTGGAATGTACCGGGTGGGCCAGCGCATCAACACCCAAAGGTCAGCTCTCAGACGACGCACTTCCCGTGAATCGTAAATTTTCATTTGTTTTCCAGTTCTCGATCCGACATCTTATTGGTTTTGCCATCTGTACATTGTGGGTACACACTCTTTTCTTTTGTTCTTTGAGATTAGAGAACTGTTTAGTTACATATTGCATCATGAGTGCGGAGTTCCCCTTCTACCAAAGTGGGATGAAAATAATGGTCCATATACATGTTTCGGGCAGGCGTAATCCATTGGTGATCTTCAGTTCCTTCTTCAAACTGATTTATCTACACACTTGAATTGATCTAGGGCACTGGAAGACGAAGATTATGCTGTTCCTTGCTCCATACTGCCCGATATTCAAGCTGGAGAGAATAAAAGGTAGTCATGTGAAATATTTCTTCATATCATCAGGATGATCCATCATCTATGATAAAGGAAAAAAAATTGTTTGTACTCGACATTAAACAATTGAGTGCTTTCTTTCTCCAGGTTTTTTTAAAAATATAGAGTACGAGACAGAAGTGATTAAAGGTGCATCTGGTTGAAAGTTGGTTGATGCATCTATGACTCCTCACCATCACCATCACCATCACTTGGGTCTACTGTATTCTGTTTTCTGCTGTGGTAGTGATTTTCCTATTTCTATGTTAAATGATGGATCTGGAATTCTTTTGCTTGGTTTTCAGAATGCTATGACGGACGTCGTGTGAAGAATTCCTGCTCTTCACAAATATATTTTCAATTTGATTCGAATGGTGTTTAACGCAAATAAGGTAAATAATAAGGGCTCCTTCGGTGTTTAATGTAAGATAGAATGGAATGGAATGCCAATAACACAGCCATTTTGACATGATATTGAGAGTATTTGAAAGAAATCCAACTTTATATATGCCTCTCCTATCTTGCTATGGCGTAAGTTCGAAAAATAAATTTATTTCAAATTATAATATATCAATTCCATTTTATCTCTTAAATTTATAATTTTTTAAATTATTTCTGTTTTTTACTAATTAAATTCCTTCTATTAATTACATATACTACCTCCAGTCTTTAATATAAAAGTTAGTTAATTAATTTGAGTAAATTAAGAAAACTAGTTAAGTTAATTATTTTTAATAAATAAGTATTGTCTTTCTTAAAATATCTTTACTAATCAAATGTATTGGTTAGAGCTACTATTATTATAAAATTTATCTTAAAAAATAATAAATATAGAAGACAAAGTGGATTTGAGTCTTATATTTATGATCAAAATAAAAGACAAACGAGCTCTTACATTAAGGACTGAAAGTAGTATTAAAGAGAATTTCCACCAATAATGAGGGTAATGATCAAAGTAATATTTTACGGAAACCAATAAACCAATCATTTAAATTAACAAAAGTACCCTAATTAACAAAATAGCGACCGCCAGCCGAACAAGTCCATGGCCATGCCCATCTCGAGAGGGTTAAAACCTTAATTATTTTCTTATACTTCGTCACAACGGGTCCCTTGCGGTAGTCCTATAAAAATGTAATATTGATCGTGTTTCTATATATCACATACAGATAGTCTATCACTTTACATATATAAATTATTCATTGAGGAAATAATTGAATAGTATTATTGACGCCTATTGGCAACTGACTAATCCGGATTCGAGGGTAGGAGTGTCGCGGTTTTCCAACGATGGTTGTCTCTTCTCCCAACAAGAGCGCTTTCCGGGACTCGAACATGCGTTCTCATCTTTATGGGGGGCAAGTCTACTAACCAACTTGACTAACTGCTCGTTGGTTAGTACATGATAATTAATCAAGTCAGATGAGTGTGTAAGTTTTTTTTTTTTTTTCAATTTTCATATCTGTTTAACATCTCATCGAACTTTCAAACGATTACTACTTTTTTTTCTCCCCCATTAATATGATAGAGCACTAGTCAAATGCCGATTAATGATTTTTGAAGGAAAAATTGTGCCATTTTTTAAGCCGCTGCACTCGAGTTGTTTATTTCTATTTATAGACTTAACTTTTATCTTTTCTTCTCATTATCTCTTATTCTCCTTTTGCTTCAGCTTTATCTTCTCTTGATTTATTTTTCAACCACCGGGTATGTTTGTGATCCACCCCTTTTCTCTTCTAAAGGTCTCTTCTTCCACTATAAACATGATTGCATCTGAAAAGAGGTTTGTCTTGTCTCTATTTTATTCTTTATCTGTTTTTACATTTTTTAAAATGATTTATTCTATCATATTCAGCTATTTTCTATATTTTTATAGATTAATACGTGACTTCTCTTCAGGAATAACGATCAAGATTTTGAAAGAGTGACTGACATCTTGAATTTACACTTGCAACGTTTGCAAGGTATTTGATTCTTTCAATTAAGAATTTTGATGCCCCCTGTTTTGTAGTAATGTATAATTCGTTTAACGTTGTTTTCCATAAATTATCATTAATTATTAGTTTTTTTCCAATTTGATCAAGGGTTTTCCTTTTGAGACTTAAACGTAAAGAGTATTAATTATCATCATTAATTATTAATTTACTAACTTAAAACTGCACAAATACTAGTTGAAATGAGGTTGATAGCTGTTTTTCTTATTTCAATAAAAGAGTTTGGTTGGCCTCGTATTCTTCACGACTTCATCCTTAGCCAAAAAAGGACATCGTTTCTTATGAAATGGAGCCAATTAGCCAGGCCCTTAGAATGAGGCTTCAAGTATATACTCAAAGTGACTGATTCTAACACTCTGATTCTTAGCAGAATATAAGTAAAACCCTTTTTTCCTCGTTCACTGTTTGGATAAAACATGATTATTCAAGGGTAGAGTGGAAAACGTCTGGGCTTAACATGTGTATTTGTTTATGTTTGGTTTAGTGTAAGAGGTTGTTGGCGCTGATATGTGATTTCGTTTTCAATGACAGAGACAGGTTTGGACAAAGTCACACGATACGAGGTGGCGCAGTCCCTGATGAAATCTAATTACTACACGTAACTGAAGCCACCCCGAGTGTAATTAGTTGGCGTACGTCACAACCACATTACTTCTTCTTCTTCTCCTTCTTGTGTCTTTGGCGAGGATGTGGAAGTTCAACAAACTGGGCTCTGCTCTTCTTCTCTTTGCCTTGGCCGCCATTGTTGCATTCGCTGCTCTTGATTACTCAGATGCTTCAAAGGGCTCATTCTCTCGTTTCCATCTCTCGCCTTCTTCACCTTTTTCCTGGCTTACTCCTCCTCTTTCTCCATTGCCTTCTCCCATTCACACTGTATGTAAATATATCTATATAGTCTTTTCTTCTTTCTTTCTTTCTTTCTTGTTTTCTTAAATCTGTTATTATCAAATATGGGTGTGTGTGTTTGTGTGTGCAGAATCCTAAAGAGAGTACTGAGGATCAATATGTGGTGAAAAGAACAGAGGAAGGAGATGGAAAACTGAAGAGGCTTGAAGGTGAGCTTGCCACAGCTAGAGCTTTGATAAGAGAAGCCATTAATTCTAGGCCTAACGACACTAAAGCGCTTCAAGATTCATATTATGTTCCGCAAGGAAACATTTACAGAAAAGCCTCTGCTTTTCACAGGTACGGCGAACCGTATATATTGACTAGTCTGATGAAAATCTCGCAATATATCCTCAAAAGAAAAACGCAGGTATATATCTAAACTTCAAAGAAAAGAAAAGAAGCTTGCTTGCTTTTCAAGAAAATGAAAGCAAATAGAGGAACAGAAAGTCCTGGTTTCAGGATATGATAATTCATACCACCACACAGAAATCTTGGTGTTAATACCATTTAACGACAGAAAAAGACTTGCACATTCTTATCATATTCTCTCTTAATAAAAATGCGTAAAGAAGTAATGTTTGCCGGTAAAGAAGTTACTTAAGATTAATTCTTTAGAGAATAAGTATGTTACAACAGTAGTGCTCACCATAATTTCCTTTTGACAATTAAACCGTGTAGGAGTTACCTGTTAATGGAGAAGCTCTTCAAAATCTACGTCTACAAAGAGGGGGAGCCTCCATTATTTCACTATGGCCCCTGCAAGGACATATACTCCATGGAAGGAGTTTTCATCAACTCCTTGGAGATCAATAAGCAGTTTCAGACTCAGAATCCAGATGAAGCACACGTCTACTTTCTTCCCTTCAGTGTTGTGATGATCCTTCAGCATCTGTTTCATCCAGTGATTCGAGACAAAGCTGTTCTGGGTAGAACTATTGGAGATTATGTCCGAATTATATCCCATAAATACCCATATTGGAATAGAAGTTATGGAGCTGACCATTTCATGCTTTCCTGCCATGACTGGGTATTCTTTCTTCATTTCTTTCTCACTTGGATTTCCATCCAATCTTTCTCTAAAATCTTAAGTGCCATAGCTCAGACCTGGTTTAAATTGTGTTTTTGTGTGCATAGGGGCCAAGATCAACATGGTATGTGAAGGAACTTTATTTCATCTCAATCAGAGTGCTTTGCAATGCAAATATCTCTGAGCATTTCAACCCCAAGAAAGATGCATCGTTTCCAGAAATCAACCTCAAAACAGGAGAAACAGGAGGTCTTCTTGGAGGCTATCCTGCATGGAACAGAACAATCTTGGCCTTCTTTGCTGGGAAAATGCATGGGAGAATCAGGCCTTCACTTTTCCAGCACTGGAAGGACAAGAAAGACAAAAATGTGCTAGTTTATGAGACACTTCCTGAAGGATTTTCATATGAAGAGGCAATGAAGAAGAGCAAGTACTGCATTTGCCCCAGTGGGTTTGAAGTGGCAAGCCCAAGGATTGTTGAGGCTATTTATGCAGAGTGTGTGCCAGTCATAATCTCACAGCATTATGTTCTTCCTTTCAGTGATGTTCTGAACTGGCATTCCTTCTCTGTTCAGATCTCAGTGAGTGAAATCCCTAGGCTTGAGGAAATCTTGATGGGAATTTCTCATGAACAGTATTTGAGAATGCAAGAGAATGTTAAGAAGGTTCAAAGACATTTTGTAGTGAACTATCCTCCCAAGAGATATGATGTGTTCCACATGATTATTCATTCAATCTGGCTTAGAAGGTTGAATGTGCATGTGAAATGATAATCTAGTCATATTTAGGAATAGCTTCCCTTTCTTTTGGTAGTGAAGGTAAATAATCGGTTGACCTTCAATTTCGTACGTGTATGAAAAGAATCTCAAATGATCATTAATTTTTTTTATTCCTTTATACTTTACGATCAACCTCGTCAATTAATTACTACTCCTAAATTCTAAATGATCAAATACATCAAATCAGACATCAGTTCAGTAACTATTATTTTTTATAAGAGTTGTATTTTTTTCTCTTAGAATAACCCTGAGAATTTCGTGAGAAATCATAATTATTTAAGTTATGATCACACTGAGAAAAAGAAAATAAACTCGAAGAATACTAATTCCAAAAAAGTATGTTTGAAAAAAAAAACAAAAAGTTGCAGAGATAATCTAGAATTAATACTGTCATCCCCATCTAAACAACTGAAGCATGGAAAATATACTTTTTTTGCTTTGCCACGCTTATTTTCAAGTTGTCTTTGGACACAAGGTGCCTACAATTTCTTGGTTGTTTCTTCCAAAAAGAGAATTCCACATATTTGGTTTTTCTGCTTTATTTTTAATAAAACTGCGTCATCTGAAAACAAGTCAATCGTGGAAATGACAAGCCAGTTTCATTGGTTCGTCCCTTTCTCATCGTTTTCAATGATGTAGACCTTTACGCGTTTTTGAAAATTCAACCTTCAAAGAGATGACTCATACCAACTCTTATTCATAGTCTTGGGTGGCTATTTTATCCGATCAGTATGTTCGAATTTCACATATTCTTTGTCTCCTACTATAAATGAACATATAAAACCCCCCCAAGTCCTTTCTTTTTAACAACTTAATTTCTTCTATTAGCCATGGATGAAGTGAAGTTACTGGGATTTTGGGCAAGTCCGTTTGTTCACAGGGTAATCTGGGCTTTAAAGCTAAAAGGAGTGAAATATGAATACATTGAAGAAGACCTTACAAACAAGAGCGAACTGCTTTTGAAGTCCAATCCAGTCCACGAGAAAGTCCCTGTGCTTATCCATGGCGACAAAGCCATCTCCGAGTCCTCTGTCATCCTTGAATATATTGAACAAGTCTGGCCTCAAAATCCCCTGTTTCCCAAAGATGCTTATGAAAGAGCCCTATCTCGTTTCTGGATCAATTTTGCATCAGACGTGGTAAATCTCACTTCAAATGTTTTCCATTTAACTGCCTTAATTTTCAGGCTCTCAAGTCTGAATATTTCTTCGGTTAATCTTGTTACAGGGCATGATTTTCCGCTCACTTTACTTGTCCAAAGAAGAAAACAGAGAAAAGAGCAGAAGAGAGGTGATTCAGGTGCTGCAAATTGTGGAAGAACAAGCTCTGAAGGATAACAAATTTTTTGGGGGAGACAACATAGGAATGTTGGACATAATTTACGGAAGCATTCCTCACTGGTTTGAAGCCTTGGAAGAAAGTGTGGGAGTCAAAGTGATCGATCCCAATACTCTGCCTCGCTTGTACGCCTGGGCTCAACGTTTCAAGCAAATTCCTGTGATCAACCATGATTTGCCACCTTATCAAGATTTGCTTCTTCACATGAAGCGCGTGAGGCAGAGGCTCATCTCACAACCACCAAATTCTTCAGCCTAGCTGCCTCAACCTTTCTTTTAAGTACTTTCATATAATTTATTCTCTACTATGTGTTGTTTGCAAAACTTTATTCACAGAGAAGACTCATTATATGAAAATGATGGGAAACAACGTGATTTTCTTGTCTTCTCTAGCGAAAGGCGGGGCAGCCATTCTTCAGAGGAGGATTCAGTTTAGAAGTCTGAGGTTTTGAAGTAATACTGTCTCGGAACTTAGATATCAACAGGCGTACTATTAGCTGTGGGTGTTATGTGAGACATTTGCTTTATGTTAGTTATTGTCAGTTATTTTCGGTTTATGTTTTCCTGTTTCTGGTAGTTACAGATGCTGTGTGGGAGATTACAAGTTTGTGTCATGTGATGTCAGTTATTATTAAATGAAGCGTTGTTCAGCTTACATTTGCAGATTCTCATTCCCTTGGAATTTTATATCCCTCCTTTTCTATTCTGTGTCTTCTTTTTTAATTCTTTTTTTCTGACTCACCATACCTAAACTAATCAGAGAACTATTCAGTTTTAGTGAGCATTACATAATCACCCCTTTTCGGAGGCAAAAAAAAAAAAATTCATTTATTTCGGGTCCAAGACAAGATCCGAGTCTCAATGCGGCAATGTTTAATATAAATGAGCAGAAAGCATTCTCCATCAGTCCATCCCATATGAAACGGTGTCGTCCACAGAAATCATCTCAACCGTTGAATGGAGGAAATAATCACGACCGTTCGTTTTCTAATCTCAAGGCAGTGCTCGGTTGGGATTTTTCTTGAAAGGAAGAGTGATTGGCAGAAAAGAATGGGGCGCGACAAATGAATCCCCCCCCCCCCCAAAAAAAAAAGGCCGCTTCTCCTCGCGGTGTCTCCTCTACTTGGTCCACTACCCTCCTGCGGTGGCCGCAGCAGCCGCCGCCTGCGTCGCAGTCGATCGTCGCCATCCTCTCTCCCGTAGTCTTTTTCGTTCTCATCTTCGCTCTCGTCGTCTCTGAGTTTGTTCTCTCCGGCTTTGATTAGCTTTGATCCAGTAAGTCTCCCGAATCTAATATCCTTCACTTTCTCGTGCTTCTACACTTATTGCTTGGCAATGTTGGTTTTGTCTGCTGAAAAGTGGTTCGAAACTTAATAAAGGCTTCTCTGGAGTTTTTGTTGAATGCTCCATTGAGGCATGGCTCCGGACAAACCTTACGTCGTCACTCATCCATTCGAAATTCGGATAATTGACCTTCAAAATTGTATATTTCTACCTGGTCTTTGCAAGTGATTACCAGTTTCCTATTCTGGCTAATTTATATGCTGGAGTTTCATGATTAAAATCCTGTTATATTTTCTTGTTGCTGGAGTTTAAAGTGGGCTTGCTGTTGTCTGAGGATGACTTGTTTTTGGTTTGATATTTGAAGTAATGATTTGGTGCAATGATTTGAAGGGAGGACCCTTCAACAGAAAGAGCATCTAATAAGAGAAAACAGTAACGGATCCTTTACCAAGCGGGAATCCCGTCCTTACAGAGGGGTTTTATTTTTGTTTAAATAATGCAGGGCTTTAGGCTGTTGGAAGGAAAGAAGTGTAATAATCTAATTATCCAATTATCTAATAATAATATTATTATACATTAATGCCAATGAATGAAGAGGTTGCACGCACTCATTCGAAGCCCAGTTATTAGTTTGCTTCAGGTTACTGGAACCCATTGTCAAGCAATCAAGTTAGGAACCACTGCAGACGTTTATACGACTAATAATATTATAAATGGTTATACGAGATGTAAACAATTGTGTCTGGCCCAGAATCTATTCAACGAAACATCCCACAGAGACACTGTGTCATGGAATACGATGATTACTGGTTACATCAGCTTGAGTGATCTTGAACTTGCATGGGCAATGCTCAAAACCATGAGAAGATGTGGATATGAATTTGATGGGCACACGTTTGGAAGTATGCTTAAGGGGATTGCCAGTTACCAAGAGTTTGAGCTTGGGCAACAAATACATTCAATGATCTTAAAAACGGGATTTTCAGAGAACGTATTTTCAGGTAGTGCCCTTTTGGACATGTATGCTAAGTGTGGGAGACATGAGGACGCCTATGCTGTATTTCAGCGCATGCCAGAGCCTAACTATGTATCTTGGAATTCACTCATTGCTTGCTATGCTCAAGCTGGTGATCATAGTATGGCATTCCGGCTACTAAAATGTATGGAACAGGAGGGTGTGAATCTTGATGATGGCACAATATCTCCACTTTTAACATTGCTTGATGATTCTGAATTATATGCGCTGGCAATGCAGTTACACTGCAAAATTGTAAAACATGGACTGGAATTGGTTAACACTGTCTGCAATGCCACTATCACAGCGTATTCTAAATGTAGTTCTCTACAAGATGCTGAAAGAGTATTTGACTGTGCTGTTGGATCTCGAGATCTGGTCACATGGAATTCTATGCTTGCTGCTTACTTATTGCATGAAAGGGAAGATCTTGCTTTCAAAATCTTCATTGACATGCAATTTCTCGGCTTTGAACCAGACATCTATACTTACACTAGTATTATTAGTGCTTGTTCCTTGCACGTGCATAAAAGCCATGGAAAATGCTTACATGGTTTGGTAATAAAAAGGGGACTTGAAAATTCAGTGCCTGTTTCTAATGCTTTGATCGCCATGTATATGAAACTGAATAATAGGTGCATGGATGATGCTTTAAAAATTTTCATTTCCATGGATTCCAAGGATTGTGTTACCTGGAACTCTGTTTTAACAGGATACTCCCAAGTTGGTCTGAGCGAGGATGCCTTGAAGTTATTTGTAAAGATGCGATCTCTGGATATAGAATTTGACCACTATACGCTTCCGGCTGTCATCAGATCATGCTCGGATTTAGCAACACTACAGTTGGGCCGGCAGTTTCACATCCTGGCGCTTAAAGTAGGGTTTGAGTCCAATGAATATGTTGGTAGTTCATTGATCTTCATGTATTCTAAATGTGGGATCATTGAAGATGCTAAGAAATCCTTTGAAGCAACTTCTAAAGATACTGCAATTGTTTGGAATTCCATCATATTTGGCTATGCGCAGCACGGGCAAGGAAATATCGCACTTGACCTCTTCAACTTGATGAGAAACAGAAAGGTGAAACCTGACCATATAACCTTTGTTGCAGTTCTAACAGCATGTAGCCATAATGGTCTGGTGGAAGAAGGCAGCAAATTTCTAGAGTCAATGGAGTCTGATTATGGGATTCCGCCACGAATGGAGCACTACGCTTGTGCAATCGATCTCTATGGCCGGGCAGGGCGTCTAGAGAAGGCTAAAGCTTTGGTTGAAACAATGCCTTTTGAACCTGATGCAGTGGTTTGGAAGTCTTTATTAGGTGCCTGTAGAACTTTTGGGGATATTGATTTAGCTAGTCAGATAGCAAGTTTTTTGCTAGAATTGGAGCCTGAGGAGCATTGTACTTATGTTATACTTTCTGACATGTATGGTCGTCTTAAGATGTGGGATGAAAAGGCTAGTATAACAAGGCTGATGCGAGAAAGGGGAGTGAAAAAGGTTCCTGGTTGGAGTTGGACAGAAGTGAAAAATGAAGTGCATGCTTTTAATGCTGAAGATCACTCTCACCCCCAGTGCAAAGAGATATACTTTCTGTTACATGGACTAATGGAGGAAATCAAAATTTTGGGTAGTCTTTCCAATCAAATGCTGTTACTGCAATATTTGGATAATCTAGATGCCTGTTGTATCAATAGCTCTAAGGAATCTTCCAGTTTGTTGGGTTTATTCCCAACTTCCAAGGATGGGATGCACCTTGTCCTCCTGGAAGATGATAACAAGGGCTTCGCTGTAAAGCAAAATGGATTTATTGTTATTTAATTAAAAAAAACTTAGAGTCCAATGAGTTGAGCATTCGGGCCCAAAAAGAGTTGAGTATGGACTTTTTTTCCATGTTTATGAGTGCAATTTTTTTTTTTTAAACATACTACTGCTAAACAGTAGTTCAATATGTTGCCAATCACTTAGTTGGACTTAGGGGGTGTTTGGATAAAAACCAAACCATGGTTTCAGAAGTGCTTTTACGGATTACGAAGTAAATATGTGGAGGAGGTTATCTCGTTTTGCGGAAAAGTGATTCTGAAACCATGGTTTTGGTTTTGCCAAACGCCCCCTTAGTGGCAGCATCTAAGGATGGTATGCATCTTTTCCTCCCACGATACGCCCCCTAGAGGCTCGAATGTGATGTGCCTGTAAGCTTTAAAATTTTGGCGTGAGCTTTGTAATATCATGATTGACATCATAAAAGAACACAGTACATGAATCTGAGTTGGTTCAAAATATAAGTCATTAGAATAGTAATTAATGCTTATATAATAATTTTATTCATGCAATTAATACCTAAAATATAATTCTTTGTGATTTTTTTCCTTTACAATCTCATTTAATATGGGTAAAGTTGAAAAAAAAAATTCGAAATAAATTTAATGAGCTAATTACCATTTTTTGATATTAACAAATTAGTTAAAGTAACTTATATTGTGATCCAGAAGGAGTATGCTTCCTTAATTAAAAATGAGGGAAAACCATTATTGAGATACATACAGGTTTTTTTAATTTTTAATTTGGTTTCTATATGTTTTTTTCCTTCCTTATTAAATATTTTAAGTTTACTCTTTTAACACCATTAATCTTTATGGTTTTGCTCTATTAGCATTATTACACCACGTACAAAGGCCAATTATACTAATAAACTAGAATTAAATGATTTAATATGAAAAAAACTTGTAAGTATCAAATTAAAAATTAAAGAAATACTTAAAAATTGAAGAAAACTAGACCAGCTTCAACAATGATTTTCCCTTTAAAATGATGAAGGGTTCAACAAAAGTATGAATTTCTCCGGCAATGTTGATTTGTTTATTTGCATTAAATTTTTAATCAATGAATTGTTAAGACCTTTTTCCTGTGAAGAGAAAAATTAGTGCACGGATCCTCTGGGTCTGGAAAGGATAAAACAGCCGTCCTCTTATTGATAATTGGGAAGTGGAAGCTTTTTTTTTGTTTTTTTTTCTTTTTTGACCACAAGAGAGTGGAAACTTTGAAACCATCGTCCTTCAGATTTCCTTGTTCGCTGATAAATAACCACTCTCTTCCTTAAAATACTCGATCCCCTGGGCCGGCTCTCATCTGTGTCCCAACAATGGAAGACGTGAAGCTACTGGGATTTTGGTCTAGCCCTTATGTTCACAGAGTGATATGGGCTTTGAAGCTTAAAGGAATCAGCTACGAGTACTTAGAACAAGACAGGTTCAACAAGAGTGACCTGCTTCTGCAGTCCAATCCAGTTTACAAGAAAGTTCCTGTGCTTATCCATGGCGGCAAAGCCATTGCAGAGTCCCCTGTGATTCTTGAATACATCGAAGAAACCTGGGCAGACATCCCTTTGCTGCCAAAAGATACCTATGACAGGGCTGTAGCTCGGTTTTGGATTAAATTTGCTGATGATGAGGTAACTCTGTCTCCATCTCCGATCTTCAACTATATGTTCTGTGTCTGATAAATTTGGTCTTGGCTGGAAGCGGAGTAGATTTCCTTAATTTTTTTTTTTTGGCAGCTTTATACTCCAAAGTTATTCAGTTTTGGGCAATTTCGTGGAGAGTTTAATCTTCGTACAGACTAAGCTTTCAATTGTTAGGTGCATATTGAGATTCACATTTTGATGTTTTAATTCATGAGATATGAATTCTGAGGTGTACTCAAGGGTGGAGCAGGTCAGAGGATTTGTTTGAATTTAGTTTAAATCTGAAAATTTTTCCTCAGGGAGTGTTTGGGTTGAGAGTAACGGATGACTGGGATTTTCCTTTCTTCTCCTTCTTCTCTATCTGAACATACCCTATGTGCCTTGTGAAATAAAGCTTGCAACAACAATAACATGATGAATCACTATATTTCAACAGTTGAATGAATTAAAATCTTGCTAGATGAACAGGTTTATCCAATGGGATAAATATCATGTTGGCCCTAGTCCCTCTTTAATTTTTCTTTTCAAAATCTGGTTATGCAGGTCAAATCAGTTACTGCGCCATTTTTCCAAGTTTTCGAAGATGAACAAGGAAAGGCAAACACGATCCAGAAAGCACTTGAAACTCTTAAAGTATTGGAGGATCAAGGTCTAGGGGACAAGAATTTCTTTGGAGGAAACAGCATTGGATTAGTAGACATATCATATGGAGTTCTTGGAATCTGGTTGGAAGGGTTGGAGGAAATTGTGGGAATAAAACTGATGGAAGCAAACAAATTGCCTCGCTTGCAAGCATGGCTTCACAGATTCAAGCAAGTTCCTGTCATAAAAGATAACCTTCCTAATTATGAGAAGCTTAAGATCCATCTCCAATGGCGCAGGGAAGGAGCCATATCAGGATCAGTCAAGTCATGATGTAGAAAGTAAGAGCATGTCATAGCATGGCAAAATGTTTCTACTACCTTTTGAAGGAAGGATGTAATGGTGAAATAAATTCTGCAACAATAAGATGTCTTTGATACAGAAGTGTGCTAATAAACATGATGGCTAGTTTAAAAAGTGATCTTTATTAGATTCTAAGGCAAGCAAGGCAACAAACTGGCATGAGCTTGGTTAGCTCATATTTGATGAATTTAGAATTTGTCCAGAAAAATGAGTTCTTTGTTGCTGGTAGCACATCTCTTTGTGCATTGTCTTGATATGTGTATGCCGTGACTATAAATACTTTTAGCCATTGGGATTTTTAAAATTTTACTTAAACAATTATTTATAGTCTTTATAATAAATTATAATATGACTCTTGATATTAATAGTTAATTATGATAGTTGTCTTCCACTTAATCATGAAATTGCGTTATTTAGTGACTAAAATGTAATGTTAAAATTGAAAACGAAAAATAATGTGCCATAACATGGTGATTAAGTAGGCAATATATATTATGATTATAAAATTGTGTATAGAAATGAAAAATACTTGAGAAAATTTAATATATTGTTGTGTTTGTAAACTTTATTTTGCTGTTTAATAATAAAAAAAAAATTGAACAGTGCATTGACATTTGCGTGCCTGTGAATAATACTTTGAAGATAACAGCAAATATTCATCAATGTGCTTGAAAACGTTTAGTCCCTTCAAGTTCTCTGTGCAGCAACCCATTGTTGCTACGGAAGTTAGGTAATGATATTGTTAAAATAAGATATTTTTTCAATAATAATCCAAATGTTTCATTAACAAGCCATTCCTTATATGCATTGCATAAGAGAAAATATTTCTACATTTTATGGGTTAACCAAGCGAGGACATGTCCATTTATTTTCGAAATCATATTATTAAGATTAAAGTTAAATATAGTTACATTACATCTTTAACAACGAAGAAGAATAATTTTGAACCCGTTTAGAATAGTTTATAAGTAATTTTTTAATCATGATTTACGGAATATGAGGTAAATATGAAAAAAGAGTTTTATCTTGACTTACATAAAACACATTTATAAGTTATTTCAATTGTAATGGCAAAAAAAGCTTTTGTTGAAGAGGTTGCAAATTTAGGGGTCAAATCACAATTTTTCTTAGATAATATGTATGACGGTATAAAAAAAACATCCGTATATGTGCAATTTTGCTGGGGGGATTGCCCATTTTTCATAAATACACACGCACAAAATATAAAACATGTGAAGTCATACATTATCTCACCCTTGGGTCCACAAGTTACTTCATAGTTCATATGATGGCAATATGCATTATGACGGGTTTTTCAAATTTTTAAATTTTCCTTCTGTTTTCCAATTTATGCTATAAAATAAAAATTATTCATACAATGGGAAAATGACTAAATTCCTATAAAATCCAATTAGACCTAATAAATAAATAAATGCAGCTGGAGCTTTCTTTTTGCATATGGAAATAAATACGATGAAAATAGTAAATTAAAGCAATCTTTTTTTTGGGTCAAAAAATTAAAGCAATCTACTTAACGAACTTTGCCGTCAAATCTCTCCTTACTACATTTTTCGGCCACTAATCTCAACAGTTTTGGTTTTTAGGCCATGATCTGTCATGAACAGTTTTCCTGAGAAATGTAAAGAAAAAAAATACGAAAACGGAAAATAACGAAGAGAGAGAGAAAAGGGGAGCGATCCGCCAGAACAAAATTTTCATATTGCTTCTCTCTCTTCCTCTCCGATCAGATCGGCCGCCTCTTGTCTGTAACAACGGGCCACTGAGAATCTTTCCTTTATTCCGTATATTTTCCGTCTCTTTAATTTGTATGTTATGTTTAAATTTTGAAAATTTCTGTTCCGACCGTTGGTCATTAGATTTTTCCATCATTGGGGCAAATTCTTGATCTCGGTTTCGATTGAAAGTCTCACAAAATTTATTGCATTTGGGATTTCTCGATTCGGCCTGTTATTTTTCTTCGCGCGAATTGTGTTGGGGACGCAATTTTTGCGTTACTTTTATGAAAATTTTGTGTTTGGGGATTTTTGGTCTTAATGGCATCAGCCCAGGTGCTGCAAAACTCAGCCGCTTCATCACGGAAACAAGAGCATTTGGAAGCTGGAAAGCGCCGGGTATGGATTAGATCCATATGTTTCTGTTAGAAACTTGTTAGATATGTGAAAAATAAGTTATTGATTGGAAGCTCGTTATTAGTGGGTGTATATGGATGATTTTTATGAGAATTGAGCAACTACTGTTGTTCGTGAACATGGAAAGGAAATGGGTTGATGGTATTGATGCTAACGTGGCGGGATATAATTCCATGTGTGTGCTCTCCCCATAAACCTTTAATCTCTAAATTATTGAACGATTGGTTTTTAGTCCTAGTCTTGGAAGTGTGGTCTCAGTCTGATTTTATAAGATAAATCTCGGCCTTGCTTTTTAAAAAGTGAAAACCGAAGGAAGGAAGCAGCAGTGAAAACGGAGGGGGACTGATAGGAACTGGAAATAGGAGATCACAACGAATTAAGTAATCATATCTAAGCATATCTCTTTTGCTTGAGCTAATATTTTATTGTAAATGAACCGAAAAATGTGTTGATCCAGATGCATGACAATGGGATTTCATGGGCGCAAAACTTCTGTTTTATTATTTGGCATTTTTGTTTTTGCAAATGCATGAGGATTAGCTGCTAATATTTTGCTGTAAATGCATGTGGAATTTTTAGTTGCAAACTGAAATCCTTTTTTTCCCCTCCTCTCTTGCAGCTAGATGAGTTTCGTAAAAAGAAAGCAGCTAAGAAGGCTGCATCTACTAGTCAAGTTCGCAATTCTGATGGCCAAAATGGAAAACAACCTTCAGAAAATGAACATGTACGAGCTAACGAGTTAAACGGAGTTAGCACATCTGATGGAATTGGTGGAACTGTTTATGACACATCAGCTGCTGTGACGAGCAATGACAAAAGCCTGAATTTATTTACCCAAAGTAGTAATCGCTCTGTAGCTGGTATAACTAGTTCCGAAAGGGATGATCTTAATTCTTTTCCTACTATTCTGACGGAGTCGCATGCAAATATTGATGAAGCTAGTAGATATAATGCTTCTGGTCTTACCGGATCTATAGAGTTTAGTCAAAATGAAGGAAATCAGGTGAATGATATATATACAGTTCATACTGGTGGAGTAGCATATGGGACTACATATCATGAAAATATCACTCTCAATTCACAAGAAATTCAGCCGTTTGATAGTAATTCTAATCTATCTACTCTTCATGGAATGAATCAAAGCCAATCAACGAAGAGTAGCAGTTCAATGAATGATTATACCGTTGCAGATCACTGGTCTTATTTTTCGTCAAAATTTTCACCTCAGAGTTCTGCTGATACAATACCACAGATTAAGCCAATTAATTCTAGCACTGTAGATAGTGGCTACATGCATGGTGCCCTCTATGGAGGTAACAGTTTCATCCTAATCTCTTTGTCCATCTACAGTTCATATTGAAATTTTTTCAAATTAATTCTTTTTTCCTAACTCAATATACATGTGTTGATTCCATCTAGAAATCATACACACCACCAACGGCCCAATACCTATACTGCTGACCTTATGTGTATTACATGTTGCACTGCAGGCCATGGTGATTCGTTGGGTTCTGATTGGGGAAAGACCATTACAAGCTCCGGTGGTGGTTTCCCTAATCTGCTTGGTGCAACGATGGAAAAGTTAGATTCTACAGGTTCCAATGCAGGGCATTCACCCAATCATATCCCAACCTATTCAGTGCCTATGGAATCTAGTTCTAGGAGGTCTCGTCCATCCTTTCTTGATTCTCTAAATGTTGCTAGACCTTCTTCAGGGGCTCCTTATCTTCAACCTGAAAAAGATTCCTCTTCCTCTAATCATCCAGAACCAGGCATCGTTGGTACATCAGGATCCACCTATTTTCCCAATCTATCCATGGAGACCAAAACCATGGTGCCTTTTTCAAATTCTACACCTCCAAGTGTGCAAAGTCAATTTGATCATTCAACAAGCTCCTCAAATTTTAACAGTAATAGTCAAGACATTCTAAGTGGGAGTGTGAAGGAGAACAACGTGGAGAAGAAGCATGATATATTTGCTCCTACACAAAATGAAGACTTTGCTGCTTTGGAACAGGTGCTTGCTGCTAGTAACATTCTGATTGCTTGATACTTGTTGGGTGATGTTGTTCTTCACTTGATAGTTTAGCATTAGAAATTAAGTTTCCTGTTGACATGTGTTTTATGCCTAATTTTTAGGGTACTTTAATCATTTAATTATTTAGTATTAGCTTATTAGGAGCCCAGTGTATTCTTTTACTGTTGATGAGGAAAGAATGAATAAAATGTTCAGAACTAGCTAATTCATTGCCATGTGGCTTTGGCTTTTGGCATTTTAGTTTTTAGAGTTTTTTTGGTGGGGAGTGTTAAATTGTTTGCCGCTAGGTCCCTTGAAGAGTGTTATTCATAAACTAGTATTAAACTTTTCAGTGTATTTGATTTATATTTTTGTTCTGTTGTGTAGAGGATACCATTTGAGGACACTGAGAGAGTTAATGCATGATCTTGTTATAAGCTTCTTTGCTTTTACAAGACTTTGTAATTTGCAACTAATGAAAGATTTCCCCCCTCTTATTTATGCTTATCTCTTTATTCATGCTGCAGCATATTGAAGATCTTACGCAAGAAAAATTTTCTTTACAACGGGCTCTTGAGGCTTCACGATCATTGGCGGAGTCTTTAGCTGCTGAAAATTCATCTCTAACAGATAACTATAATCAACAGGTTGGCTTGCAAATTTTAACTATGTGATTCTAAGGATAATCAGATGTGAAACTGTTCCATATTTAATTTGGAGGAATTTCAGCTCCAATAAGGGGAGCAGTGATTGTGGTGGCTTTCTTTACTTCAATAACCTTGGGTTGGCTTCACCTGACTGCCTTCTGTAGTAATGACCTGTGTTGAGTATGAGATGCCTTGTTTGAATGTCTCCGGGTATTTCTTTTTTTTTAAGAGTTTGGGTTTAAAGAATTTTCTTGGTTGTAACTTTTAAGTTATATTTATTGTGCTAAAGTCTTGCAAGGCAGACATAATTCTTTCTGCGCCATTGGTTGTTAGGTTATGATGTTTGCTTCTAATCTGGGTAGTTACTTAACTTAAAAATGCTGACTTTTAAGTTTGAACTGAAAATGCAGTTATTTGTCATCGTCCTTTTTTTAAGCTTCTCAAAACACCTTCTACTTTACTTTTGTAATTGTTTTTTGGTTTGTGTTTCAACAGAGAAGTATTGTCAACCAATTGAAATCTGACATGGAGAGGTTACAGGGAGAAATCAAACTTCATCTGGTTTGTATCAATAACCCAGCATGATTTAATAAGTTGTTGCACATTTTTACACCACTTTACCATTATTGATGGTCTATAGCAGCATGTGAAGATTAGCACTGCAAATGCATCCATAGACATTGCTTGTCCCCATGTTTTTCTTAACTTTTAATTTGTACAGGTATTTTGACATGAGAGTTTTAGTTTTTTGAGAAAATGACATTGCGAAAGTGTTTGCCCTCATTTGGCCCTAAAAAAATGTCTTAGATTCTATTTGAGAATTTTGATTATAGGATAGGTAATAATGCTTATGATCCCTCTACTTTGGTGCTTTTTTTCTCAACATTGATAAAAAGAATGATAACAATATTGGTATACAAAAAATATTGGAGCAGCTAAGATGTTATGTATCACTGAATAGACATGTCTCTTTGAAACAGACTGGTTAAGAATAGATGCATGGCTTATTGGATTGAGTATCTTCACATCAGAAATGTTTGCAATGAGTGATTTACTTTAGGTTGCAGAAAAAGTGCTTGTCCATTTTCAAAGACCTTTCATGTTCAAAGACCTATCACTATCATGTGTGGTTCATTTGCGGTTTTTGCTCAGTTTGTCTTATTTTTATGTTCTGGGGTAAGAAATTTTAAGTTGCTTGTCAGTTCTAAGGCTTGGAAATGTTAGATCTATACACTGAAGATGAGTTTGGTGGGATTAAAATATATCCTGATTTACGTACATTGACCTCCATGAGTTTCACTCTTCTTAATGTTTCCTCTATGCTCAGTTTGTATTTATACAACCCTTTTTTCATCAGATTGAACTTGAGTCTGTCAGGAATGAATATGCTAATGCACAACTTGAGTGTAATGCTGCTGATGAACGTGCCAAGTTATTGGCATCTGAAGTGATTGGTCTGGAGGATAAGGTACTTAATTTTCTTGGTATGTTGAGCCTTTATTTATTTGCTTTTCATACTGCTGATCTGTTGAAAAACATGCTTCTATTAATGATCTTAGAAAGTTATTAGGATCCTAACCCTTATGGAATTTAAGCAAAGAGGAGGTGATGGAGACAAGGGAAAATGAATAAAATCTCATGTTATAAAGAATTGGATGTTGGACCTTCCTGAAAATTAGAGTTGGGCGACCACACTGAATTGTCCGATCAACAATTCTATGCATCCATAATTTTGAAATTAATTCGGTTATACTATATTTGTAACTCTAATACAGGCAAAGGTTAGCACAGGGGCAAATGTGTAATTATGGCTTTTTTTTGAAAAATCAGGTGTGATTATACGAGTATAAACTTCAGTAGTTAAATTATTGAATGTTGGTTTAGTAGCATTTATTACATTCCATGTTCTAAAGTGGATTTGTTCAATGAGCTTTGTAGGCACTCAGATTGAGGTCAAGTGAGCTAAAGCTTGAGAAGCAATTGGAAAATGCACAAGCTGAAATTACTTCCTACAGGTAACCCTCAGTTTTCGCTCATGATCATGGATAAAAAATTATGTTCAGCCATGGTTCATTTATATACAGGTGTCATTTATTTTTATGACTTGCTTTATTGAGATGATTCCTTTCCTTTAACCTGGGCCTTCAACAATTATTATAATTAAGACAAAATTAGAAGTTTCTGGATTATGAAGATTACTGAAAAATGACATTCTGAGAAGCATTTATTCCATCTAATCTAGACATATGGCTGTAAGTGCTGTATGGTTGGTTCAAAGAACAAATAGATAATGATCAAGTTGAGTTCCCTTGCCACATATCTTCCTAAATGCTACCGGAGGGGGGAAAATAGTATATGCTTTGAAATGAGTTGATTTCAATCTTGTTATCTCACCTATTTGTTCACAAGTCATACTCTCCATTACCTTGGGCTAATGAGTGAGGTTGTGGCAAGGATAATTCTTTTTGAAAAAAATATATCATTCTTTTCCTATGGTATTTTATTTTCTATCTCCTGGTTTTTCCTTCCATTGTTTATAGGGCATATCAAAATGACAATTCATAATAATTCTTGCAGAAAGAAAATGTCCAGCCTGGAGACAGATCGCCATGATCTGCAGTCAACCATTAATGTTCTTCAAGAGGGTAATAAGGCATTAATTGTGTTTTATTACCGCAGTTTCAATGCACATTCTTTGAGCGTAGACCATATTTAAAGTTTTCATTTTAATCTTCTCCTAGCTCGCCTATTTGCGCTGAGGTGCTAAGCCTAGTATCTTATTTGATACATATAAAAGTAGAGAAAAAAACTAGGAATCAAAGTGGACATCAAATTGAGTTGGAATTGAAAGAAAACAAAATGTTCCTAGCTTGTTTTTAGTCATTCTGCTGGTCTGTAGTTTGACTTTGCTAACCGGTTCCTAATTTGGAGCATTTTAGCTTGCGAATGCACTATAAATTTAATTATGATGCTTTTTTATTGTATTGGTCACATTGACAATCATCTGAACTCTGAACCTTGACTCTGCTTTTCCTTAAATTTTATATATTGGTATTATTTAAAGCAGTCTTTAATGAATGTTTCCTATCTCTATGTCTGACTGGAGGTTAGTGGTTGCATTTTCAAGTTTATTTCACTGACTTTGGATCTGTTATGAGATATTTTTTTATATAATCTCTCTTTGGTACTGTTAGTCCCTTTTTGGTTTCGTTGTAACAGATGTGTACACTATCAAGACCTGACAGTGTTATTTGTCTTTGCTGTCTTTGATTTCTGTTTTTTGTGAAGGAGCTTATGAAATCCTCCTCATTATTTGTAGACATTCTATCTTCTCTCTAAGATAATTTCCCCTTTTGTAAAGTATGGGCGGCTATTGCTTGGCTTGTTCATGTGAACTAGTTGAAGTCATGTGCAAACTCGGTAGATCCATGCTCATTCTTTGCCTTTACATTGATACAGAAAAAAAGCTGTTGCAGTCCAAGGTACGGAAGGCCTCTGGAATTGGGAACTCTATTGAAAATTCAACTAATAAAAAGGATGTTTCTACATCTACGGAAGACATAGGTACATATGCCTCATTGATTGCTTTCCTAATGAGAAAATAAAAGGACAATTCTTGTGTCATCTTCTCACTTAGTCCTGTTTGCCAGATCCCATAGATATCAATTTGATATGTTTCGTTTTACTGAAGGCATGGAACATGCAAGATGATATATTTCCAGATGCCAACAACATGGTTTTCAGTGCTTTTCTTAGCTCTATGCTATTCTTTTCTTGTTTTTGTTCAATGTTTCTTCTTGGAGTGTAATTATATCTAATTTTCCCACCTCTCATGATCCTACCTGTGGATTACAATGAAATGTCACCCTGGCTGGCGTGCAGTTTGGGGGCCCTGCAATTGTTTATCTAAAATCATAGACTGAGAAATTATTGAATTGCAATGATGTGTTGACAGTACCAGAAATGATTAGATGGGAAAAATAATGACAAAGAGGTTAGGACTTTGGTAGACCCCATTGTGCATATTCTGTACTTTAACAGTTTTACGGCATATCTTGCAGGCATTAGACTATCATCACTTTCCACTTCTTTATTTATTTATTTTTTTCAATTTCTATTTGATAAAAGAAATATTTTCAGAGAAGAAAAATAATGAAGAAAAGCAGATGGTAAAAGATATCCTCTCAAAGGAAAAGTTTGACTGTCTCCCGATGTTCAGCAGGGAAACCCCTAATGTAGGAGTTAATTCAACAGCACAGAGGGCTTCTTTTTTTTTTTTTCCACTAACTCCTCGCCCCTTCTTATTTTATGGAATAGGGTTGCACCTGCAGCGTCTCTTTGACATTCTGCTTATGATTGTAACCAAAGAGTATCTGGTTTTGAAATGAAGAGAGATGGGACAGCTTGTTACAAGTTTGAGGCTCTGCAGTTCTCTATTATTCTTTTTCCTAGTTTTTGAGGATATCTTATTCTCCCTAGTCTTACCGTCCTCTTTTATATTTTCCCTTTTACCCTTGGAAAAATGGTGACCAAAAATTCTAGACATGCCCAAGGAAATCTGGTTGTTGGCTTTTTAGACCGTAGGATTCTGATTGAACTCTTAAAAGGCCTACATGCTTTATATATTATTTCTATTTACTTTGAGAACTTTAGTGGTGTTATTTATTACCTTTGGTGATGTTTATTTATGTATCATGCAGCAAGCACGGCTGTTGCTGCAACCTCTTCCAGTCAGGAGACGCATGACTCAGCTACGGATTACTCTGGTTTACCCTTCGTTCCTGAGGTCGGGCACTCAACTTTTGGAGCTTCTCCGGCAAATATTCCACCAGATCAGACGAGACTGATTGAGAACATTAATGCACTTATTTCTGAGGTAGGATGTGATCCCGTGAACAAACAAAAACCCCCCCCAAAAAAAAAAAAAAAAGAGAAACCAAAAAGCCCTTCCTTAGAATTAATCTTTTTCACCCTTCCTTCTTCCATGTGCCTGATCATACATAGTTTTAGTGGCCACTGAATAGCCCCAAATTGTAGTCACTTCCAACATTTCTATGTGCAGTTGGCGTTGGAGAAAGAAGAACTGCTGAAGGCTTTGGCATCTGAATCATCTGAGTGTTCCAGAATGAAGGTAGATTAGCTACTACTCCCTCTTGTTTTAAATACAACAACAACAACAACAACAAGCCTTATCCTATTAGGTGGAGTCGGCTACATGACCCCTCCTGTCTTAAATATATGACTTAATTGATTCACTGAGATTTAGAAAATTGGTTAACTTGGTTATTTGCCATTATTATGTAAAATTGTCTCACTTTTTAAAATTGTGAAATTGATAGAGTAATATGGGAAAAAATATTAATAAGGGAGACGAAGTGGATAAAATCTTGTGTTTAAGACTATATTTGGAGCTGAAGGGAATATGTGATTTTGTATTGACCCCAAAAAAAAAAAAAAAATCCCATTTCTTGGAATGAGAGTAGTTCTGAACTTCTGACTTCTTGGTGGAACGTTTTTCGCTGGTGAAAGAAGAGACACAGAAGCTTTTTAAAGCATTAGTTTGAAAGTACTAAAGTTAGAGGTAGCACCATCCCATGCTTTATTTTTTTTGGGAAGGATATAGAATTAAATTGTATGGGGGAAGGAGAAAACTACAATAAAAGGGGGACAAGTCATTTTCCAATAAAACGACAAAAAAAAGATGCGCAATGAAAAAAAAAAAAAAAAACCAGAACCACGCAAAAAAAGCCACACATTCTATCGGAAATTTTGCAATTAAGTTTTAGAATACGTCCTGACAAAGTGACAATAACGTTTTGGTTCACGTATAACCTCAGCATCTCTATTGTGTTATTCTGAATGAAGGAGCTAAACAAGGATCTGTCCCGAAAACTTGAGGCCCAGACGCAAAGATTGGAATTTTTGACTGCTCAAAGCATGGCTGGTGACCATGCTCCAGCGAAACAACCAGACGTTCACACTACGTATGACAATGCCCCATATGCAGATGAGGGTGATGAGGTACCATCTATGTTCAGCTTTCACTTTGATTGAGTGAACTTAAAGATTTTCTGACATCATTTATGTAACATCATGTTATGTAAACCCTCAAGGAAGTATATTGAAACTTTGCTGCTTTTTATTTCTAATTTCATTAGCTGCTAAGAAATAAAGAGGTAGAATGCATTAAAGCAAAACGGAATTGACATTTCTCTCTTTGCCCTCTTAGGTGGTGGAAAGGGTGTTAGGATGGATTATGAAGCTGTTTCCTGGTGGGCCAGCGAAACGAAGAACCAGCAAACTCAATTGATAGATTTGTTGCAACTTTTGTCATCTCATTCTACACCTTGGTATTGTGATATCAACGCACAGAACCAGTAATCGTTGATCCAGAGTCTGCACCAAGATACCTTTTTGTTTATTGTCGCCTCCTCAACACAGCGGAGGCCGTGATCTTGTATATTTTGAGTGGAGCAATGCATTCTTGAAGAAAGATGTCCTTTCAGAGCTGCTTATTGATTGGTGAATCCAATTGCATTTGTTTTGGGAAGATATGCAATAAAATCTGTCCTATAGTTTGATCTCTGATTGAATTCCAAGTTTCGTTCGTCTAAATTGTGGGGATGTAGAAGGGAGAATGTTTATGTACCCAAAAGCTTAGAGGGGAAAAGCAGAGATATGGGAATATTTGTCAAATATTCAAGTGACATATGTAAGACAGGTATATAATAGAAACGTGTTTTCTTGCACTTGTCATGATTTGGTTAGGTCAGGAAACGGTCTTGATTTTAAACAAGCTTTGATATGAGTGGGATCGGGTGGGCCGTAATATTAAATGTGCGGGCTTCCAAATATCAATATTCTTTTTCATTATTTTTTGTTGATGCTTTTGCTTATAATATTTGTTTGGAAAAATAGGTGCTTCCAAGTTCCACCTCTCCGTTAGGAAAGAAAGTGTTCTCCTTTTGTGCTACTATTTTTAATATGAGAATTAGTTTGATATTCAATTTGGTTTTAAACATTAGACATTCAATTCATTTTGTCTTTTATATTTATTCATTTTTTTAAGGTAGTTTTTGTAGTAATTGCTTATATTAAAGGTTCCATTAAATGGTAGTTATAACTACTACACATTATTAGTAAGGGTATTCTAAGAAAAATAGCACATATTTATCACAAATAGCTAATTTAATTTATTTTCTTAAATTAATTAACTGGATCTTATATTAAGTATATGATCTAGTTATTAAATTTTCAGCTTGATGTCAATATTGCTTTTTCACAAAGGAATATTGATTTGATAATTTTATATTATTTCTAATGCGTCAACAATACTCCCTCTGTTCTTATTTGAATAAATTTCCTAGAAGAAGTAATTTATCTTTACTGTAAATTATCAAATGAGATATTAATTAAGTATTTTTAATATTATCATAATGTGAAAGAATATAACAATTTTTTAAAAAAATTATTATTCTTTTTGAATGCATAGATTTAAATGTAGATAAAATTAATTTTTTATTTTTAGATAAAATTAATTATTTGATAACCTTTTATAGATTTTAATAATGTGGTTAGAACTTAGAAGTATTTTATGATAATATCATGAGGGAAGCATGTGTGTACTTTAATTTAAGAACAAAGAATGCCTATTATGAATAAATTTAAGAAAGATTATTAATATTTAAAAAAACGATTGTGTGCGCCACGCGTGTCCATGATTAGCAATCGGTGAGGTGGCATCGAAGAATAGTACACGTGGAGATAAGAAAACGACTGAGATTGTGCCACGTAGGGCGAGAAATCCCAGCCTCAAAAAGATATTAATTGGCCGTGCTGATAGGTGCCAAGGGAGCCGCGCAGTTTTAGTGTTGAAGCAGGTTCGTTGTCATGTCTTCCTTCATTGGCAAACTCTCTTCTCTCCCACTCTCCCTTTCCATCATTTCTTCTTCATCTTCCAAAGGTACCATCTTTCGCTGCATCTTTGCCTTCTTTGCTTGTTCTTGCACTTGATCAATCTCATCTTTTTGGTTAGCAGAAGCCAACTCTAGCTCTCCTAATTCTGTGAATTTGAGAGAGGACTGGAGAAAGAGGTCTAGGCCCATCCCACCCGGAGGCACTTACCCTGCCAAAGACCATTGCAGGTATCTCTCATCTATTTCTCGTCCAAATTGCCACGTTTCGTCTTCCAACATTCTGTCTTTTTTTCTTTGGAAAAAAAAAAAAGTTCCTTTCTAGTTGTCAGCATTTTCTCTATAAAGTTGAATTCTTTTCATCTAATTAGTTCTTCATTTGGAGCAGTCGATGCGGGTTGTGTGATACATATTATATTGCCCATGTCAAAGATGCCTGTGCTTTCCTGGGAGATGGAATGTCGAGAATTGAAGTAAGTTTGTTTCCTCTATTGCTTTCTTTCGTGGTAGTCAAATCCTAATATTTTCAACTCAATACTACTAGTGATATGCTTAATCCGAAGAAATGCAACACCACCTTTATCCTTCAATGCTCAGGTGGAAAATATAATTGAAAAATGAGCATTGAAGTTATAACCAAATGATATGAAGTGCTTGGTGATATATATTTTTTTTTTCAGCTTTTCTCCAAATTAATCAATTGGGCTATTTGAAAATGTGGAAGATGGATTGCTGCTGTTTAAATATTTTCAGTAAGTCCAGATGAACTGACCTTATATGGGGAAACTTTAATGCACAACAGTTTCTTCTTTTTCATCTTAGGGTGTGATATTGAACATGAAATATTATCATTTCCAATTTAAGCAATGCTTGATTGTATCTCTGCTCTGTTGCAATCTTGAAAACTTGAAGTGAACATAACTGCAAAATATTCTTGTGTTGATGTTCAATAACCGTTTCCTCTTTCAGAGATTGGAACCCGTAGTTCATGGTAGAGGGAGGAAAACAGATACATTGGAGGAGACCTACTTTGGTATACATGAGGAACTATTATATGCTCGTAAACTTAAGCCTGTGGAAGGTAATTTTTCCTGTTCGCAAAGTAAAATCTGTTACTGCTCTTTTTTAGCTGTATTCATTTGTCGTTCTTCTCTGAATCAATCTGTGAGGATCTGTGAATGCGTTACATTTCTTGTATTTTTAATTATCTGTGGGTTGAAACAGCATCGAATATCAATGAATAAATATATCAAGTTAATCATTGGGTGTAATATATCATGGGAAAAGTTCTATCTCTTATTTGAGCCCAACAATGCTCAAATTTGAATTAGTTGGTAGTACCAGTTACGGTTACCAGATATACCCAAAAAATAAAGAAGAAGAAGAAGAATAAAACAAAAGTTGATCCTTAGTTATAAATTTATCATAAATTCCAATAAGTTCTCAAGGATCAACATTTAATTTTTTTAAGTTATAGAAACTGCATCATGAGAATAAAAGAGTCACAACTTTCTGCTTCAAATTTATGTGTTATCATTAAAATTAATTTGCAAAGGCCAATGCGCCTTGAGATGATGAATTTCACTTAACAAAACCACTTCTCTGTTGATAGGAGCTCAATGGACTGGGATAGTAACTACTATAGCTATGGAAATGCTAAAATCAGGCATGGTTGAAGCTGTGATTTGTGTTCAGAGGTAGGGGAAGAAATTTTAGATTTAAACGAAGAGCGATTGTGAATGTATTTAGTATTAAATTTAACTTTATTTATTTACTCTGTTAATAATTCTTATTTAATTTTAACTATCGTAGTGATCCTGAAGACAGATTATCTCCAAGGCCTGTGTTAGCAAGGTTCGGATCTGGTTATTTCATCGTTAGAATAGTCTAGATGATCTTACTGGTAATATTTACTATTTTTCACACCTACGATACTGTCATGCTTCCATTTTCCAGGACACCTGACGAAGTTTTAGCAGCTAAAGGCGTAAAGCCAACATTATCTCCTAACCTAAATACCCTTGCCCTTGTTGAGGTGTGTAAAATTACTGTCTGTGTGACAGAAGTTCCTTCTCACAATCTTAAATAAAAATTTTGCTCATATTTTGTAATTTTATATTGAAAGTTTGAAGTCAGTTTCTTATATTAGAAAGGATTTGATTGATCATGGTTACTTATTTCATGACAATCATGTTTAAGCATTTGAAATGCCTTGATAATATATCATGTGAAAAACGTTAGGTGAGTATTAGAATCAAGTGTATTCTTCTTCACTTGTCTACATCTTTCAAAAATTTACAATTTGGGTGATGAAGCTGTGCAAATTTATTGATCAATACGAGATCTTTGAGGATTGTTTCTAATATATTTTTCAGTATTGTGTGTAAAAGTCAAATTTGGAATCTCGTGTTTCGGCCTCCATACTGGGGAGAATTGAAAAGACGGCCTTTTCAGTGGTCTTGATATTTTGACTATTGCATCATTCTTTGTATCACCTTAATATCTTGAAGTTGCTGTTATTCTTAGCGTGTCTTAATTTTCATAATGACAGGCTGCTGGTGTCAAGCGTCTTCTTTTTTGTGGTGTAGGTTGCCAAGTGCAAGGTATCACTTGTATAATGTTCTGTAGATTTTTAATTTCATTCTTTTTCTTCATTGACTTTGTACTATTGTAATGCAGAATAATTTCTTCAATTTCAGCATTAAGATCTGTTGAGCAACACCTGAATTTGGAGAAGCTCTATGTTTTAGGCACTAATTGTGGTAAGCAAAATATAATGTATTCAGCCAAGTCTTTCTCTTTTTATCTCGCAATTTTTGGCTATAAATAGTTATATTAGACATGGTCTGCTAATATGCCATTTTGTGCATGAATCACTGGTAATCCTTGATGAATTTGACGTAATACTATCTTTTTCCTTCACAGTGGACAATGGAACTAGGGAAGGACTGGATAAGTTTCTAAAGGCTGCAAGTGATACTCCGGAAACAGTTCTTCATTATGAGTTTATGCAAGATTACAAGGTTTTTTTTTTTTTTTTTAAACTTATAAATCATCTATTTTAGCACAACTGCCACATTAATTTTTGGCCTGACAAATAGTCTCGATAGACCTTGATTAGAAGTTAGCCTAGCAAATAGATTGAATTCTCGTTCAGTAGTTATTATTATTTTTAATTGTCAACGTCTATCAGAAAATTGGCACTCTTCTCTGTATATTCTGCTACATGGAATATGAAGCTATTTTTCTTGTCTGAATGTTCAGTTTATGTAGCATAGGTCGTGTCCTAATTCTCATACCAAACATCTCATTTCTATTCAAAGTGAGGAACATGCTTTGTTGTTCCTCAGATGATAGTGTGACGCCAATTTGATAGTCCGTTTGTGTTGTATCCCACTCAGTAGTTCACTCTTTACAAAATTGAAGCTTGTTATTCTTCAAGACCTAATGTATTGCCAATTTGAGTATTACTTTGTCACTAGACATATACAATTTTATGACCAGGTTCACTTGAAGCACTTGGATGGTCATATTGAAGAGGTTAGAAGGCCTTCTTAATGTCATTATGTCCTTGGGTTTAACAAGAAAACTGCTTCATTCAATTTCAATTTTTAACTGAAACAGGTTCCTTATTTCTGTCTACCAGCAAATGAGCTGGTTGATGTTATTGCCCCCTCATGCTACAGGTAAAATGTTTGTCACACGGTGATTATTGATAAGTCTCGTAATTTGACTGGCAAGCTGTAGAAGCATTCTAGGATTAGATTTTACTGTAGTTCCTTTTTTTTCCCCAAATTATATTTTCTGCTAACTTTTCAGCATCTTCTTGTTTGTTACAGCTGTTTTGACTATACAAATGCCTTAGCGGTAAGTTCTTTTGCGCATGTCAAAATTTTAATATTAATAAGAATTTCGTTTTACTCTACCTTGTTCGAATTGTTTCATTATAAAGTTTTTAATTATTTCACTCTACCCTGTATATTGTGTTTGCCTCAAATTCCTGTGTTTAGTACTTGATCTATTCAGACATTAAAGATAAATAAATAAATTTCAGGACTTAGTTGTTGGATACATGAGTGTGCCCAAATATTCTGGAGTCAGCATGACACAACATCCTCAGTATGTTACTGATGAGGCGAGGACTGGGCCTCAGTTGATTTATGTTAAAAGAAAGCCCAAGGGCAATTGAGGGATTGTATGGGTGACGGTTAGAGGAGAGAGACGGGTGGGAAATATTGTTATATAGGGAAGTTGTTATAGGAGGGCGGTATGCATGTTGAGAGAGAGCTTGGGAGAGGTCTGTGTCTCTCGAATACACAGAGACCAGTGGCTGTAACCGTTTCTGCATGTTTTTCGTTTCTCCCCTTTAGGTCCATACCCTGAGGGTGAGCCTTCTTTTCTCTAGTTGGCATTAATACAGACCGTGTTCCATCATTAAGGTATCAGAGCCGGCACGATCCAGCGAATGGTGACTCGAATGGAGCAGAAGGTTGAGCATATTGATACACGGCTGGTTCAGACTGAGCAGGGTATTGAGCTGCTACGAGGAGATGTATCAACCCTCAAATGCGACATAGCCACGATACAATCCTTGATGACCGAGGTGCTGACAGAAATACGTCAGGCAAAGCGACCCGAAGCGGTCGGTACCCGGATTGAAGAATCCCCTGGGTCTAAGGTTACATCAGAGTTCCCACGGACAGAGGAACAAGGCGAGACGGAGGTGAAAGAAGCCCGTAGTGACTTCTCTAATCTCAAGAAACTTGATATGCCTTTGTTTTCGGGAGAGGACCCGCTAGGTTGGATCTTCAGGATTGAGCGATACTTCAAGCTCAATCGGATTATCGATGATGACAAATTGGATGCTGCAGTGCTCTGTTTTGAGAACCGGGCGTTAAACTGGTTCCAGTGGTGTGAGATTCAAAGTCCATTGCGAAATTGGATCGAGCTTAAACAGGCTCTGGTGTTGCGTTTCCACCCGTCGCAGTGCGGAGGCACTTACGAGATGCTAATGGCACTCCGGCAGAGAGGGACCGTGGCCGTATATATTGAGCGGTTTGAGCTTCTCTCGGCTACTCTAGATAAGTGCGACGACGAAGTGTTAATCGCCGCCTTCCTGAATGGATTACACCCAGACATCAAAGCCGACCTTCGGATGATTCCGTCGCATTCCATCCGAGAACTCATGGATATGGCTTTACAGATTGAGGAGCGCAACTGGGTCAAGTCTTCACTCCACGGGTTCAGCGTTGACCGAGCCCCTAAGTTGTGGGATACGGACAAATGGGCCACACGTCCCAGCCCAACTCGTTACACAGCCGAAACATCTAAACCGACGACCCACACCGCAACGATTCCGGCTGACCCCAAGAGCACACGTGTCGCGGAGAAGGTTGAGATACCGGTGACTCACATCACCAAGTCAGTACCGAAGAAACTCACTGATGCTGAAATTGAGAGGCGGCGAGAACTTGGTCTTTGCTTCAAGTGCGACGAGAAGTTTCGACCGGGACACAGATGTAAAAAGAAGCAGCTGCAAGTGTTGATCCTAGCTGAGGAAGCCGATAATGGCGAGAACCCGGAATCAGATGTTGTTACCCCTGCGACAGCCTCTAATAATTTTCCTGACGAGCCGGCGACTGAGGGGCAGCTTATGACTCTTTCTCTTAACGCATTGGCAGGCGTGACCGGGGGAAAAACCATCAAACTCAAGGGGACGGTGCTCGGTCATTCCGCATTAATCCTTATCGACTGCGGAGCCACACACAGTTTCATTCACCACGATTTGGTCAATGCTCTCAACCTGACCCTTGATCCGCGACTATCCTTTACTGTTCAAGTAGGCGATTCTCGTCATGTGCAAGGCAGAGGAATCTGTAGGGATGTACCCATTGTGATCCAGGGGCTCCACATTAGTCAACACCTCTATCCTTTTCAGCTGGGTGGGTCAGATATCATCCTCGGTGCAGACTGGCTCGAGTCACTGGACGAAGTTCTGGTGAGCTGGAAAAGGTCGACCCTCAAGATCGACATAGGCGGGGAATGGGTTTGTTTGCGAGGTGATCCGTCCTTACAAAAGTCAGAAATGTCGTCGTCTACACTCCTTAAATCCATGCGCTCAGCAGACGTTGGTTTCCTAATTGAGTTTACTGAGCTCAAAGTAACTGATATTAACCTTACGGAGATTGCCGCAGATGTTCAAGGCCTTCTTGGGGAGTTCCTTGCAGTACAAGTACAACCTACTGGCCTACCTCCTCATCGTTCGGTCGACCACACTATTGAGTTAAAACCAGGAGAGGCTCCACCTAATATACGGCCTTACCGTTATCCCCACTGCCAGAAATCAGAAATTGAGAAGATGGTGCAAGATATGTTACAAACTGGTCTGATTCGACCCAGCAGGAGCTCCTTCTCTAGTCCAGTTCTACTAGTCAAAAAGAAGGACGGTAGCTGGCGGTTTTGCATTGACTATAGGGCCTTGAATAAAATCACCATTCAGGACAAGTTTCCAATTCCAGCGATTGAAGAACTCCTCGACGAGCTACATGGGGCTCAAATTTTTTCAAAACTAGATTTAAAGTCGAGTTACCACCAGATACGGATGAAGCCAGGTGAGGAACATAAGACCGCTTTCCGTACTCATGATGGCCATTATGAGTTTGTGGTCATGCCGTTCGGGCTGAAGAACGCACCATCTACCTTTCAATCTCTCATGAATGATATTTTTCGTCAATATCTGAGGAAATTCATCTTGGTCTTCTTTGACGACATTCTGGTCTACAGCGTGAACCGGCAGGAGCATTTACGGCACTTAAGGGTGGCCTTGGAGGTACTACAGCAACACCACTTGGTCATCAATGCCAAAAAGTGCATTTTCGCTCAGTCTGAATTGGAATACCTCGGCCACATAATTTCTCCAGCGGGGGTCCATGCAGATCCCTCAAAAGTACAGAGCATGTTGACTTGGCCTGTACCTCAATCACTCAAGGAATTACGGGGGTTTCTGGGTCTCACGGGTTATTACCGCCGTTTCGTCAGGAATTATGGTACCCTAGCATCTCCCCTCACCCGTTTGCTCAGGAAAAATGCTTTCCACTGGAATGAGGAGGCACAATCCGCCTTCGATATCCTCAAACAGGCTATGTCGTCAACACCGGTATTAGCCATTCCAGATTTTCAGGTCCCTTTTGTCGTTGAGGCAGATGCATCCGGTACCGGTTTGGGAGCTGTCCTGATGCAAAATGGACGACCCTTGGCATATTACAGTCACCATTTGTCACCTAAAAACCAACAGAAATCTGTGTATGAACGTGAGCTCATGGCTATTGTCTTTGCGGTAAAGAAATGGCGGTATTACTTGCTGGGAAGGCCTTTCCTCATTAAAACAGATCAAAAATCACTGAAGTATCTCCTGGAACAACGAGTATTGGATGGTCAGCAACAGCAGTGGGTTTCAAAACTAATGGGCTTTGACTTTCAGATACAATATAAACCAGGGGCCTCTAATTCTGCTACAGATGGACTGTCCCGAAGAGGGGGTGACTGTGCACTACAAGCGATCTTAGTTCTGCAAAATTCAGATATTGACTCGTGGGACCAAGAGGTTCGAGCGGACCCGACTTTAGCAGCGATCATTCAAGCCTTGGGCACCGGTCAGGCAACTAAGGCAGGATATACACTCAAAGGGGGTCACTTATTTTTTAATGGACGCTTAGTGATACCGAAACAATCGCCTCGAATTCCTTCCCTGCTACAGGATTTCCATGATTCGCCCATTGGGGGCCATTCAGGGTACTTGCGTACATATAAGAGGCTTGCTTCGTTGTTCCACTGGGATGGTATGCGCCGAGATGTTCAGAAATACGTGGCGGCCTGTGATACGTGCCTTAAGAACAAACACTTAGCTACCAGTCCAGCCGGGTTATTACAACCACTACCGATTCCTGACGCAGTATGGACTGACATTACCATGGACTTCATCACTGGATTACCCAAGTCGGCTAAATTTGATACTATATTTGTAGTAGTGGATCGTTTGACCAAATATGCGCATTTCCTTCCCCTACGTCATCCTTATTCAGCTTGTGATGTTGCTGCTGTCTTTGTAAAAGAAATAGTACGTTTGCACGGGTTCCCTCGTTCCATTGTCTCCGATCGTGACAAAATTTTTATGAGTCACTTTTGGAAGGAACTTTTCAGATTATCGGGTACCTCTCTGAGTTATAGCTCAAGTTACCATCCACAGAGTGATGGTCAGACTGAGGTAGTGAACCGAAGTGTGGAGACGTATCTGCGTTGCTTTTCCAGTTTCCATCCCGCGGACTGGTCCAACTGGCTTGCTTGGGCTGAATTCTGGTTTAACACCAACTTCAATCGTTCCACAGGCATGACTCCTTTTCGGGCTCTCTACAGGCAGGATCCACCAACCCTGTATCGTTTCCAGGAGTCCTCATCGTTGGTAGATGCTGTCACTGATCACCTGCAGGCCCGCAATGCTATCTTGGTTGAACTCAAAGAGAATTTAGAGCACTCACAGCAGTATATGAAGTCCTGTGCTGACAGGAAAAGACGTGATGTACAATTCGAGCTAGGTGACAAAGTGTATCTCAAGCTGCAACCTTATCGGTTTCGTTCTTTAGCTCGTCGCCCCAATGAAAAATTGAGTCCACGTTTTTATGGTCCCTTTCCCATTCTCGCCAAAGTTGGGGCCGTGGCGTACAAGCTGCAGTTACCTCCCGACGCTAAGATTCACCCTGTCTTCCATGTGTCCCAGTTACGGTTGGCTCCACCTGCTACGATCGTACCACAGTCATTACCTTCCTTCCTCACGTCTGACCTTGAGTTACAAGTCCAGCCAGAGAAGGTTTTAAAGTCACGACGTCTGACTGATAGCACTGTTGAGGTCCTCATCAAATGGCTACACCTCCCTGAACATGACAGCACGTGGGAAGACTATGATGCCATTCAATTACAGTTTCCTACTTTTGTCCTTGGGGACAAGGACACACTTATTGGGGGGGGTAATGATGAGGCGAGGACTGGGCCTCAGTTGATTTATGTTAAAAGAAAGCCCAAGGGCAATTGAGGGATTGTATGGGTGACGGTTAGAGGAGAGAGACGGGTGGGAAATATTGTTATATAGGGAAGTTGTTATAGGAGGGCGGTATGCATGTTGAGAGAGAGCTTGGGAGAGGTCTGTGTCTCTCGAATACACAGAGACCAGTGGCTGTAACCGTTTCTGCATGTTTTACTCTACCTTGTTCGAATTGTTTCATTATAAAGTTTTTAATTATTTCACTCTACCCTGTATATTGTGTTTGCCTCAAATTCCTGTGTTTAGTACTTGATCTATTCAGACATTAAAGATAAATAAATAAATTTCAGGACTTAGTTGTTGGATACATGAGTGTGCCCAAATATTCTGGAGTCAGCATGACACAACATCCTCAGTATGTTACTGTCAGGTAATATCGCATAAGACGCTAAGGTGTTTGGATATATGGTCGTTCCAATGTATTATTGATCTGTTAAGATGTTAATATATCTCTCTCTACTATTTTTTGAGTCTATATACTTTAAAGAGAGGAAAGAGGAAAGGGGAGAGGGAAAGTAAAGAAGTGAACGTCTGCAGGTAACTTAAGAGGAAAACCCCATACTGGGGAACTGAACTATGGAGGGCATTCCGTTTTCTAAAATTATGTCGTGAAGGCAACCTAAAACTCTTTCATTTCCTCCTCTTTCTCCTATCCACCCTCGTCTAAACAAGTTGATAGTTGTCATGATTGGTTATGATATTAATAAATTACATACTAGGGGATCACCGTTTTATAAGAAGTGATTCCATTGTTCCGCTCTTGAAATGACAGGAATGAACGAGGAAGAGAAATGCTGAGTCTGGTCGAGCAGTATTTAGAGATTAAGCCAACAACTAGTGGTGTAAATGATCAGCTCTGTCCCATTTAACCTTTTAAAATATTGCTTTATCAAATGGTTTTATTTTTTTGCCTTCTCTTCAGGGGGATCGGCGACCATTTGTGATGGAGACTGTTAAGGCTGATGATAATGCCAAGTTAGGTAAGCTTAATGAAGTCTTTGGGCTTAGGGTATGGGCTCTTTTTGGGGCCATGGTATGGTGGGCTTCATTCAGAATAGTCTTGTGCTCTTTTAACATTGTTTGTTCTGCTCTAAAGATTAGATTTTTTTTTTTTTAAATTGTTCTTTCATGAAATGATGATTACAGTTTTGTTCTCTGATAATATCTCTTCTCCTAAAGATACTTTTTTATTAGTAATGATGCTTGAAAATTTCTATTTTGTCCAGGGAAAGGTCCTGCTCAGCCAGCCCCAAAATTTATCGGAAACTTGATAGCTTTTGTACTAAACCTGGTAAAAATATTTTCCCATGATTTATCCATCGAAACGTATAAAGAACATAATAATATTTTGACCCTCGCTTTCATTTCAGATTGGTCCAAAAGGTCTTGAATTTGGACGTTATTCACTTGATTATCACACCATCCGCAACTATTTGCACATAAATCGTGCTTGGGGAAAAGAAAGGTATAATAAGATAATGTACCGACCTACAAGGATAAACTGTATTTATATACTGCTCATGGTGATTGAAAATTAATGATTGCAGAGCTGATAGGCACATGCCTGCATATGCTAAGAAACTTGTGGATCTGTACAACCAAAATGGTCAAATCGATGAGATGCTTTCCAACAAGTGACTATAGTTGATTATCATACAAGCATTAGCTCAGGTGAATTCCAAGTATGAAATTCCGCGTTGTTCTGAAGCCACATTGCATGATTATAACTCAGTAGTTTTTGCCTCTGTAGATTAAAAACCATTACGTGCAACGGCCCTAGAGGGTGCATATGTTGAATACTGCAACCGGTTAAGGTTTCAAGCTTTATCAAAGGGTGATAGTTCCCTTATTTGGAGGTCTGATAGTTCCACATCCCAAGAGAAAGTGATTATTATGGTTGGCCATTACGTGTTTGCATGACGCGAGAGCCACTTATAACTGCTAACATAGCAGCTACGAACTCAGGCGATACTTAACGAACATTATTTTACTGGTTTAGAAAGCTTGAGCAGAAAACCATTGTTGTGTTGTCTAAAGTCAAGAATGAGAGAATTGATTTTCTCTTCTGTTAAAGGCCTGTCTTCTCTTAATGGAACATAGAACGAGATTATGTTAGGGCTAAAAAGTATGACTTAGTTGTAAATCAGATGTACAAGATTCTGATTTGGTTATACCGTTATGGAAACTCTGGCCTTTCCAATCTGACGGATTAATTTTTTGGCTGCCGTTCTAGTTGAAATTGTTGCCTTTCACTATACATCCCGATCAATTTTACTGCAGTGGTAGTGTGGAGATTGCAACGTTAGACTCTAACCTCATGAACAAGTTTTTGGAATGTGAATCTTCTTGAGATTTCCGTCAAACCCATTCACTTAAAAAAAAAAATTTAGTCAATTAATCAAAAACACAAATTTCTAAAGGCGAACAATTTGTGTCTGTACATCTCAATTTACGACTTGCATACATAAGATATCCAGCTGAATACTTTTTAGAAAAACCCTCATGTTTTCCCGCGTAATCACAAATTGGAAGTCAATTGCGTGAACAAAATGAGCTAGCATCTCTTCCTGCGTCATCTTTACGGGGAGTGCATAAACAGGTAGTAACATTTGTATGGTCAAACACAAACTCAAGCTGATGATTCTCAAAATATGTGATAGTTAAGTGAAAATAAAAGCTCTCAATTCAACAGGCAAACTAGTCATGAATGCTTAATAATCTCTCTTCTAGTTAACTACTTGCACCATATTCTTGAATGGACCATGTACATTAGAAAAGTCAAACTTTGTTCAAACCTCCAGCAATTTTATCCTTAACTGCAGTTGAGTTTATCATTCTGTTGACGCTTTCTTTTAGACCAAACGTCAAATCAACCGATTCATATGTTGTTCTGAAACACGATACATGTTGCTTGGACATAACACGCATAACATGGGCTGCAGGAAAAACCACGTTCATGATGATATACGTTAGAGCTAAATCTGCGCCAAAACCTGTAAATATATGAATAACATTACTCGACACCACTCATTACACAAGTAGCTGAAAATATGAAAGAGACAAAGTAAAAGACACGATTTGACGCAAGCCCTGTGATACAATAAAATATACATAGAATGCCAGAGATTCAGAATACAACTCGTATCAGTGATACACAAATGAGTGATTCGTAACAGATGATGTAAACTACAGTTCTCAATTATGCAGTGAAGTTCTGTGCTGCTGCTAACATTTGTCTTTTGTGTGAATTAAAAAGGATAGAACAGTAACTCTTAACAGTAGTAATTAAATGGAGAAGATGAAATGAAGTTAATGAACTATGAGGGAGAACAAGAAGGAATGGGCTTATAAGGGGAGGTGGCTGCCCCATGTGTTTTGCTCTCTTGATAACTGTGATGTCTGCTGCATGCTGATTTTATGAGAACCTTGGAAGCCTCTTCTGTGAATCCACAACTCTATAATTGTGCAAATCATATTGTAGCCTGCCATTAATGTCCATATCTGAGTTGCCAATATTTTCAAACACAAAATCTTTGCTCTTTTGTTTTATATTTGCTCAGATCGACCACTGTTTTCTCCCTTAATTTCTTCCCGGATAGATAGAAGGCTCAATCTGGGTGGTGGTGGTGGTGACTTGGTTTCAGATGGGCCATAGATGTTATATATATTTTAACATCTCTGAGTGCATGCATGACGACTCATATGGTTTGTCTTTTATTTCTTCTTTTTCCGATTATGTGTTTTAGATTATATTGTTCAATCAATTCGCAACAGCGATTATCACTATTTGGCGTATCTTTGGAAAAGCCAATTCTCATGTCAAGTGGCTAGCTCACTATACCGATAACCCGAATATAGAGTTTCGAATGATGTAGACACTATTCTTTGTATACAATGAGCATGTTGCTCTGAAGAGTTAGCTTCAGCTTCAATATGGCTTGACGCCATATGCCCTTTATTCAAGAGAGAGAGAGAGAGAACCAACAAGTGTTGGTCCAAATAAAAGGGACTTGGACACCTTAAATATCATGTACTAGGTTCGATTCTTGGAACGGTGTGTATGGAACAAACACTGTTAGGAGGGGTTTCCATTACGGTGCCTGACAGTATACCTCGAAAGATTAGTCTCTTACTGTTTAGGTGGGAGGATACTCTGGACAACAACAAAAAAAAACAGAGAGAGAGAAAGAAAAAGATGAAGATTGAATTGCATTAAGCATAGATATTTTTTTAAAAAAAACTGGGTTCAAATTTTGCTGATGATTTTCTAATAATGCATTGTTAGAATATTCAAGTCAGTGAATCACAGATGCGATTCATTTCTTTCGGGGTGGTTTGATAAGATGTCGGTTTATTTAATGTGGGCATATCTAGTGGGTCTATCCAAAATCTAACCTCTTACATTTTTCAAAATGGTAGAATATTTTAATATGGGCCTGCTTTCTTCTTGTGCTTCCATGTGTAAATATTTTAGAGAACTTTTTTTTTTAATTTTTGAATTTCAAATAATTGTATGATTAACTTTGTGTGTATGTATAGAATGCCGTGTTCATTTGATCTCTTTTTTTAAAATTTAAAAATTTGCATTATTTTATTGTTCAGTAGATTTAAATTATTTTTATCTCAATAAAATAGATAAAGTCGTCGTTTTGGACTTGCAAAGAGCTTAGATTTATAGGACACTCATGACACAAATATTTCATAAATAAGTCGTCCAAAAAAAAAATATTAGAGCAAAAGTTATAAATTAAAATATGTACGCACGCACTGATATTGATATGTAAATTTTTGGAGTGAAAAACATGAGGTTTAGACATGAAGAATCACATTCCATGCACGTCTTCGCTTAATTTCAAAATTTGGAAAAATTTATTTAAATTTTAGAAAGACTTTACTGTGAATAAGTCTTTGAATTTACTTGATTTTAATTCCCTGGTTCAACGGTCAACTAACAAATCAGAGCCGAAATAAGAGCGCATCTGGTGGAGGAAAAAAAATTAAACATATTGAAACGTGCAATAATGAGGTCATGCAACTTTTTCCCTCTCTACGACCCAAACAAAAGAAATTATGTGTATATATCTTTGGTGAAATATGTGCTCTATTTAACCGCAATGACAGAAAAAATATAAATTGAAAATTTAAGAGCAATTATGTCATTTTACAATTAGAATAAATTATTCTAAGGTCTCTTGGGACCTACTAGCAATTTTGACATTGTGTGATCTTAAATAAATAAAATCTCTTCTTTAAGACCTGTGTGTAATTTTCTCATAAGTTTAGGCTCCGGGGTCCCGATGATGCACAAGTTCCACTGAAAATTTCAGGTTGAATTTAGTCAAATGAGATACTCCTAATACCATAACGTTGCAGAGTACATGTATTTGCTTTGGGAAGCGCTTGGAGTATTTTTGTCAAAAGTTTTGAAAATAATAATAATAATAATAATAATTCCATCAATATCAGCAACAGTTGTGAGAGAACATGCAACATACACGTGTTTTTCGTCATGTGCATAGAAATTTTGTCAATATGGGATTTGTTTGGTGTGTTGTATTAATAGAAATTGTTTTCTCATTGACATGAATGACTTGCACGAAGTAGAAAGGGAAGGCTTCTCCCAGCTGGAGTTTCATGGACATGCTGGATATATAAATCGCGATTAATATCATTTTTAGTCCTTACAATTTGATTAAATTTTAGTTTTTGTTCCTATAATTTAATAAGAATTTAGTCTGGATTTAACGAGAGGTCTTTAATTATACTTTTAGTTTTGATCGTTATACATAAACTCAGACCAAATCTTTATGAAATTATGGGAATCAAAATCAAAATTTGATCGTACTGTAAGGACCCTATATATTTACACACACACACACACACACACGGAAGTGTAATTAGCATCTTTTTGGCAGCGTCATTAATATGTTGCAAATAAACGCATATATATGAGTATAGCATCTGATATTGATGATTATGAAAAATAAGTTTAAAAAAAAAAAACAAACAAGAAGGGACTTTCAATACTGTCTAGTAATGCTATGCATATAATTAAGGACTAAGTATGATCATGATTGGATGAAATGGAAGCCATAATATATGATGAGGATATTAAGATTCAGCTCTTAAAGAATACAATATAATATAATGAGCCACTTGTTATAATAATTATTGAAGAGATAATATTATGTCCAAAATTATTATGGTTGGGGGATAGGCTTATATTTTCAATTCAAATCATGTTCTCTAATTACACTTGTGGTTGTTCTATTGTTGTACGTCAAAGCTTGAGAGACTCAGATTCGTGCTTGTGTTGTAGGCATCCATTCACGTGCTACGCGACGTAACATGGGCGCACCCTGTTTCACAATTTGCAGCTTCACCATTCAATTTCTTTTTAGAAAAAATAACTAATTTGAATTCCATTTTGTGGCATCACATAGTGCAAATCTCTAGCATTCAATGCATGAAAAGTTTTTTGTTTTTGTTTTTATAACTCAAATAGTCTCAAGCAACTTTAAGTTGAGGCTAATCTTTGTTGGACCAGAAACATTAAAATTAAAGTCATCTTAATAAGCTTGCTTTCTGAACTTTTTTTCTTTTTTTTGAGTAAATCCTGAATTTTGAATTCATGTTTTTTTTCTGTAAGGGTAAGATCACTTACCATCTCAACTAACAGTTTATTGGTATGAAAAGTTATTTATTATTAATTAATGCGTATATTTAAAGAACCGTTGTTAATTAGTAGCAAATTTGACTGGTCAATGCTAAATGGGCTTCGATGGCCAGCAAAAGCCCATGACGCGCATCACACCGATGAGATTCTCTCCTAGCGTTGACTAAACAACAAATCTTATTTAACTC